TAACTTTTAGCAAAATAATTGTTAGTTGTTGCCCTAAACCCAATACTTAATTTTAATAAGCAATCATAAACCCAGTAACCCTACAAAGGAGACTTACCTAGTATAGGAATATTTATTGTTGCTTCTGTTATACAGTAGTTTCACAGTAGGCTGCAAAGACAAAATGTTTATTAAATTAACGCATAGGAGCCCCATAATATTTAGCACAAGCTATAAAAACATACCTTGTTTGAGGTTGCAATGAGTCTTTGCTCTTCCTTACACGACGTCATAAGAGGCACTTTACAAAGAGGTTCATATGTTTCCTTCTTCTGAAAGACAGTTTTTAATTTTCTTAATACTGCAATTAAATTACAGCCATTGTAACATAATACCAGAGAATGGATTGTATTTAAAGGGTGTTATGTAACAGGATAAGTGGGTCAGTTATTTTGGTTTAAATCCTAGTCATAATCACTCAAATGTTGCCTAAACTGAAATTACAAAACAGGAATGTGGGAAGAATGCTAAATCTTCAGTGAAAGGTAATCAATTATGAATCTAAGCATTATCTTATGCATGTCTATTGATAGAAAGATTTAATTCAAAAGAGAAACAGATACTCAATGGTAAGTTCATGAGCAAGGAAGTAGAGCTAAGAAAATTGTTTATTTTTTAACTCTTCACTATTATGTTATTCTTATACATTTTTCTAAGGTCCACATTTGTATGACCATTTTGCTATCTTTTTGCTGCTGTAAACACCAGAATTTCACCATTGTTAGACAATAAAGGGATTTTCTATTCTATTCCATTATAAAAAAGGTGGCATTTGGGTACAAGATGGAAGACAAATTAGCAAGGAGCAAAAAGCATCTCAGCGAGAGCACAGAGAGTAAAGTAAAATTTGGTCCCTGGAACCTTTCAATTTGTTGTTAAATAATATTTCACATTCAGTCACTTTATTAGGTCCAGGCTAATCATTATCAATCATTATCCTGCTAATCAAATGACAGAAAGTCTACAAATTTACCATATAGACTTTTTAAAGACCAGTATTCTCAAATTGAGCATCAGAATGGACAGAAATGGGGACTGATTTTGAAAGCTTTATGGTTTCTGGTAACAGCTGGGCTGGTCAAAAGGTTTTAGAATCTAATATGTGGATTTTCACAATTAATCGTCTGTGGTTTACAGAGAATGGTGCAAAATAAAGAGAAAATGTGTGATTTTTATGGACACTATAAGTAGCGTCTAAGTGCTATGGCTTCTTTCAGCACTGATGCTGTCCTCCTTTATAAGAAGAGTGCATCCACCTTCAGATGGCTGATTTTGGCAGGTTAAGGAATCAAAAGCTCCAATCATTTCTCAATAGTTTTACAGAAAAAAAAAACACCGCTCTCCAACGTACTTAACAGCCACCAGATCTCAATCCAATAGAGCAACAGTTGTGAGGCGGCGGATAAAAGCATTCGAGGACAGCTTCAGGCCATTTGTAGAATGAAGGTGACTCCAACTGCTTAAGGGGGTCTGATCCAGAACTAGCAAGCTGCACTGAAAGAACTGACTGGTGGTATTACAAATATTCCAAAAGCTAGGAATTCAAGCAGATTAGACCAAATCATACCTGATTAAAAAATTACATTTTAGAAGGACAAAAGAATGGTTAAAGAACTTCCAATACTATTTCAAAGAGCTAGATTGGGTACCTGCAAGGCTGCTGAGCATTCATCAGCTAAGCCCTGGACAAGGTAATACTTGGCCTCTGCCAGTAACTCTTCAGTCTCCCTGCGGCTCTCTGGGAGTGGGACCGCCCCGTCCCTAAGGAAGTTAAGGATTGTTCCGAAGTGTTTTCCACAGCGATCAATTAGGATCCAACCTATAAACAGGAAAAAAAATATATCACAAATTGTCATGTCGAGGAAAGAGATTGATTTTAGTGTGCTTACATCATACATGAAGAGCTTACCTTCACTGTCTGTGAGAACCTCCATCCGCCCACTGAACATAGCTTTAAGCATGGTGTCCTGCTTTGTTAGTGTCTGCATTGTAGTGTAGTACAGCGCCCCACCCACATTTAACTTCACATACTTGGAACTGGGGCTGGAACCTTTAAAGGATGTTGTCCTGGTTGTAGCTGCTGGCACTGCCGAGCTCACCACGCTGTCTCCTGACATCTCTTCCTGGAACAAACCAAGGAAAAACACCATTGATTTAAATAAACGCCTTTCCCATCTAAATTAAAGTGATCTTTTGCATTATTTGGTAAACTAGCAGGTTCAGAGCCACGTATTGCACCGTGATTTAACAATGCTGGGTTTAATTTCTAATTTTCGCATTTCTACATGATTTTTTAAATTAATTTATAATTAATGAACAATCATAACAGGGAGGTGTAGGAGCCCAATAAGGATTTTGGGGTTTCTCCCTTTTTACCCCCTCATGAATGACCTGAATGTATGTTGTAAGTGGGTATGTGTACGCACTACATGAACATGCCTCAGTTCCATTGTGATTGGAGGTAGGCTACATTCACACTGCAGGCCTTAATGCTCAATACCGATTTTTCTGTGAAATCCGATTCTTTTGCGTGGTTGTTCACATTTCCATATGTATGCGACTTGTATGCGATCTCCTGAGTGAACTGCATTCACACAACTCAAGTGTCCCACGTGTGCAGTAGAGGACGCAATGACATCACAAGCAAACGTGCTCTGTGTTTACAGAAGTAAACATGGATGGTAGTGCTGGAACGCATCTAGCGATCTTTCCCAACCTCAGCTAGTGCATTAACAACACAATCTTTCCAAGACGGTTGAAAATAAAGGCTGCTCTCAGTATTATCGTCCACCATGGTTGTTGTTGTTTTTCTTGCCGCGTCTGCGTATCAAGACACAGAATAATGACCTTTGTCGAGCATTAATGGCATACACACAGGTAGCATTTGAAAAGATTGGATACGGATCGGTTTCAGGACCACATAGCCAAAAGGCCTGGGTCACATCAGGAAAGAAATCAGATCTGTGCTGTTCAGATTGTCATGAATAGATCAGATACAGGTCACATACGTGCAAAAACAAAATCAGATTTGGGTCACTTCGGGCTGCTGTGTGAACGTAACCGTAGAGTTGATCTGTTTCTGATACAAGTATTGGAAAGGTCTCCGATACTGGCAAAAAATGTTTGCATCAGTACCTGAGAGTAATGAAATCTTGCAGCAAATTATTTTAAATAATCCATAGCCTTGTACTGTACAGTACAGTATCTAGACAAAAGCTTGAACTTTCCTATCTTTATCAAGACAGTGTACTGACTTTAACCTATGTTGCCCTAAACTATCTATAACCTTAACAGGCACCAAATGATTGGTAGTAGTTCACCATCTATCTTGCTGAGGTACTTAAATTATTATTATATTAACAAAGACAAACACACTGTGGATATTTGGATTAAAAAGGCTCAACATGAAAAAACTCCAGTGTTGAACATTATGTGATGAGGTGAGGTTAAACCCCCAACAAAAATCATATTTTGATAAATTTAGGTAATACAAGTTCATATATATATATATATTCTACAACAGATTGATTTGACGTATTTTGAGTCGTTTGATATCTATATCAAATTAGTCAAAACCTATAAATGTTACTTTCAGCTGGATCATTCAGAACGTGTTAAATGTCAAAACAGAAGATAGACATTTTATTGGACTGGAGAAAACGGCGTCATGTAGGCCATCAGTAAAGTCATAAAAACATTTATGGTAAAACATCGAGTTTAACATCGACCATATAGCAGGCGGGAATCCTAATAATATAAATAACTTTGTTTCTAAAACAATGGACCGTTATATCAACGTGCGTAGATTTCAACTTCGTTATAGCTTCCATTAGCTAGCAGCTAGTTAGCCTACTAATAAGTTACCAAATATATCAAATATTAAGCTTTTTTCCAGTAACAATGTTTGAAGTCAACATTATTTCCCACTACTGAGTTAACAGAAAGTAACTTCTTGGTTTATAATACTAATAAAGCATATATATTTACCATAGAACCCACAGCTGACTTCGTAGTTGTCGCTTGCTAACGTCAGTCAGCTAACACCCACTTTTTCCGGTGTTGTGCTGAAAATGACCCCCCGATAGGAGGCAGCGAATCTGAAACTCGAATTAGGTGGCACCAAAGATGCCTTACTGATTCACTATCTTTGCTTGTTGTTTTGTTATTATTATTATCATTATTTTTATGTACAGAACTAGGCAGGCAAGGATATGCAGCCAAGATTCTTCAAACTGTTTTAGCTGCTTTCGAAATTTTAAAAATATTTTTTATTTACTAATCACAAAAAATAGTTTATTGTAAACATGTCGACATGTTGGGGGATATTTTGTGTCCATGGCCGTCATCAAGTCTTAATAAGGTTTTATTCGACGGCAATTAATTTAAAGAGCCTTTAACAAAACTAGTTACATTTCATTCAAAGGGAAAGACCAAAATGCGTTTTTGAACTGCCCCCTCCACTGCGACCCAGGATATTGTTGTAGACAAAAGATGGATACAATTACTATGAGTAATTTCTCCCCTTTTCTGCCTTCTAGATATCGGATTGCTTCATCGCCGCTCCTAAGAATATTTTCTCAAGTGACAGTTTAATTTTACATTTAATAACGTATTAGCATGTATAAATTTTATACATGCCTTTCACGTTTCCTTCAGGCAACGTAAAAAAAAAAAAAAAATGCGCGTTCCATGTCGAGATGCTTTTCATTTCAGGGGTGCATTTTATTGTACATCACCGAGTGTACCGCGTAGCGTTCATAAAAATGACGTCAACCGTCGCAAACAATGATTGAAAGTAGATGTAAAATATGTTAAAGTTATAAACGATACGGTTTTGGATATTTAGACATTTATTCTTTAATAAGTACTTCACTTCAACCAAATGTATGGTTTACTTCTTTTAATTTGCGTAAATGCCAACAACGCCCTCCCCCTATTTGTCGTTTCCGTTTATACAGCAGAGTGTACCAGCAATAATAGTCCCCCGTCCAACACCTACCAACACTGAGTAAGAGCTGAATTCAACAAGAATAATTTCACATTCGCCATAATACGTAAACCGAGGCCGTTTATTAACATACCAGAATTTTTATTTTGGATCTGGATGTCTAACGTACTTTGCGAAACCGGATAAATTGTACCCGGAGTTATTTTAATGCGACGCAGCAGATTAACGACTGCAGTCTAGTAGAGGTTCCTTCAGATTGTTTACGTTTAGGAACGGGTGTCTCCTGCTTTCGAACAACCTGACATCGTTACAGCATTAGACGCCACCTCACCCTAATGCTAAACAGAATTAAATCAATTTAAAATGTGTGTTTTATAGTCGGTATCAAAGCAGCCGACTAGCCCAGCTAGCTAGGTGTCGTTTTTCCACCTTCACGGGTATTTCCTAGCTTCAGAGATGCTAAGTTAGAGCTCTCTTTCTCTTCTTTTTTATTTTATTTAATCCGGACTCTCCTCATACTTGGATGTTATGGACTGCCAAATGAAAGAGAGTGTATAGCGAAAGGTGTGCCTGAAGGCCAGACAAAATCTGCTTATCTTCTTAACTTCACAGGTAATCTCTGTCAAAACACTTTGATCATGCAACTTTTTTTTCTATGGGGGAACAAGCTTCAAACAGAGGATATGTGTTCTGTGAGGCTTCTTAAAAAATACTTATCTATACATTAGGACACAGGTATTTTTCAGTAACTTTAAATACATTTCTGCAAGTCATTGAAAACGTCGCAATTATGTATAATATAGATTAATAACACAAAAATATGTATTTCAAATGTGTATTCCATCTTTCGATGACCATGCCTTGAAATAAAGGAAAACAAACTTTTCCTTTCTCGGCAAAATGTAAATTGTACTTCCAATGTGTGAGGCAAAGGCTCAAGTTTTAATTGCTGTAGGCAATATCTAATTAGAGTGTGCTGTACTGAAGCATGTGTTGTATAGTCATAGGGAAAAATGCTATGTGTAGCTTTGAGAGGATTGGATTGAAGCCAAGTCAAGAATTTGTAGGACATGGTTTACATAGTTACATGGTTTGGACTTCAGCTGGAGTCATGGCTTTAAGAATCAGCACACACAGATATAGTCCCATTGGCTACAGCTGTCATCCTTGGGTTATACCACTCTTTAACTAGAGACAACACCAAAAGTACCTGAATGGAAAAATGGACTGAATTTTTACATGCAACCAGAATTTGTATGTGATTTGGGGGAAAAAAACAAAACAAAACAAAAAACCATCATAACAGGAGAAGTATAGAGGCACAGAATCTGATTAGCTTGAAGTTCAATTTTCAGTTTCAAAGTCAGTAAAGATCTGAGGTCCCATGTTATTCCACAGTAAACACAGCCCTCTAGCAGAATATATTAGAGAACATTTGGATTTAATTTTCCAGAAGGATTTTCACCTGCCCTGGTATCACTGTGCTCCATTTGCATATAAACTGTCCTGACCTGAACCATACAGAGAACCTTTCAGGTTGGAAGACAAGGGGACCCCAGACAGGACTCTTTAACATTGACCTTATGCAACAGCAAAGTTACATGCATTTTTTAATAAAGACTGAGATGCACATTTTTTCAGCTTTTTGATTGTCACAACACTTTCACAAGTACAGAGCAACGAAATGAACTCTCTGCATCAACATCCCTTAAAAAAAAAGAAACATCTACTAACTTTTCAGTAGATACTGCTTCATTTGAATTCTCCTGTAAGGTCTTGTAAGTCAAACCAATGATCTATATTTTTCTTTTCTAGGGTACACAATGTTTAGTGTCCCTCAAAGCTCCAAGTCAGAGTTTCTGGACAAGGCCAGGCAGGCCAGAGAGGAAAGAAAGGGATACAAAGAGAAGGAAAAAGCAGCAACCCAGATCCAAGCTCTGGTGAGAAGATTCCTCTGTCGCTGCAGGCTGCAGAAAGAGATCAGGTGACTATAGTTTTTATAAGCTTTAGGTTCTTGCGCTTAGGTGCTGCTATTATGCATTACTTGCTGTGTTCCTCTTTGTCTGAATATGTGAATGCTGCTTGTTTTTGTCTTCCCAGGAAAGAAGTTGATGATTATTTCCAAGCTTCTGAAGCAGGAACAACAAAAAGAAATGCTCTTTCAATTTTTAAAATTGCACGAAAATTATTATTCATATACCGCCTTGAGGACAAGATGGTGAGTTCACTGCTGTCCATTTTAAAACATTTTTTAAGTCATATATTTTTCATGTTGATCTGTGATAATCTATCCACCTTTATTGGTACAGTTAGTTTTAAGATAGAAAAATACCATCAATATACAGAGTTGTTACCTTATTTCCTTTTTGAGTAACTGTTATTTTTACGTTATTATAATGCATTCATACGGTGCCTTCAAGAGGTGTTCATATTCCTTTATTTATTTTATTTATTCACATTTTCTCACATGTCAGCACTAATCTAATAACATTTAATAGGACATTTAATAGGATTTTATGTTCTGGATGACCATAGGGAATATGGTCATTAATTGTGAAGTGAACATTTTTAAAAATGCACTTCTAATTATTTGTTATGTGTTTGATAAATGGATATCATCTGTATATCATCAATAAGCAAAAAAAGACATTTCTAGATGAACAAAGACGATGGAGACGTCTGTAACCTGACAAAAGGTCACATCTACTTACCTTTACCTTTAGAAGCTGAGTAGAAAAAAATGCCCCTCCTATTATTTAAAAAAAATATTAAAATGCATACACACCATTTTCCTTCCATTTTACAACTATGCATGAATTTGTAATTATGACATGTAATCCCAAAGCACTGCTTGGAGCTGTGAAGAATATCAATCAAAAAATGGAGGCACAGCCAATGAAATGCCTTCCACCTCTGGTAGTGATTGTGCACTTGTAGCCCAAAATGACAACAGCATAGTGAGGCAGGGAAACCTATATTCTGAGACACTGTCTTCTAGTTACAGTTATGTTTTCTCATTATAATCTATAGATTTGTTGCTGTGACTCAAGTTGGTTTTAATTATGTCCTTTAGAGATTTGAGAAGCTATGTCGAGCTATTCTGGCCAGTATGGAGGTGGAAAATGAGCCTAAAGTGAGTCTGACCATGTTGCTGTCCTAAACAGGTCCCAACATTTATTTATTTTTTTCTTTGTCAGAATTTCTCTCAGTGCCGTTTCCTCCCTTTGGTTTACAGGTCTGGTATGTTTCCTTGGCTCTCTCCAAAGACCTCACTATTCCCTGGCTGAAACAGATCAAAGATGTGTTGTGGATTTGCTGCCAGCTATTGAAAAAACTAAAGGTGGATCTTTATTTAAACATCAACTATTAGTCCCAATTAGTTTAGTAATTATGTTTCGGATATAATTATCCCACCAACTTTGTGATTTTCAGCCTGACATACTCCAAGACAACAAGCTGATTACGCTGTACCTCACCATGCTAGTGACCTTCACAGACACGTCGACATGGCAGATAGTCCGGGGAAAGGGTGAGAGTCAAGTATAAACAGACCGGCTGTTATTGCCTGACAGGCTTTCGTCAAAGGAAAACATAACATTAAATGGTCTTTTCACTTGAATTGTTGCAGGTGAAGCTCTGAGGCCTGCTTTGACAAGGATTTGTGAGAACATCATGGGGCATCTGAATCAGAAGGGATTCTACTCAATACTGCAGGTTGACTTTTATTTGTTGTATTTAAATGGTAACAGTCCTGTACTTACATTAACATTTTTAAATCAGAAAACGCCAAAATTAAGTTATTCTTGCAGAAATTCACCCACGGATGGTAGCCAGCTACATTGTAGCCAAAGTTGGGGTTTGAACAATTACCTGCCGGTTGCAGAATGAACTCTTGCATCCTACAGCCGTGTAGTATTTATGCAGTTCAATCAAAACAACTGATTTCAGTTTTAACTGAAATTAAGATTTATTTGTTAGATATGAACATGTGCTACATTTGTGTTTAGATCCTGTTGACCAACGGCTTGGCCCGGTCTAGACCATCCCTCTCTAAAGGCACTCTGACTGCTATTTTCTCTTTGTCTTTGAGGTATATTCATATTTAATTTTGTTTAACTTGAATAAAACGTTGGAGTTTTGCAACATCTGAATGTTTGCTTAAGTTTGATGTATCCATCCGGGTTAATAATAGGAATCTGTTGTGTTCCAGGCCAGTCGTCGCTGCTCATTTTTCAGACAACCTGCTCCGTTCCTTCCTCCTCCACATCATGTCCGTTCCAGCTGTTGTGTCCCACCTTAGTGTCTTGACTCCAGAGGTAAAAAGCCCTTTTTCCGTCTGTAAATAATAATGTCAAAGGTGAAGACAGTTTGCCTTAATGTAGGCTTTATCCAAACAGTGCATGACGTTAATCCAGACCCATGACCTCCTGCGGAAGTTCGTTTTGTTCCTAAGTCGGGAAGAACAGTGTCTGGACATCTGCGTGTGTCTGGAAGGCAGCCACACGCTCTGCTTACTTGGTAAAGGATTTCAGAAAATTATCTGCTTGAATATTTCTGTTCATTTAATCAAATTCATGTTTAATTTAATCAAAACATGTGTCATTTGAGCTTCAATTTAGTTTAAAAAGTAAAACTTCTATATTTCTGTAGATTAAATTTATAAAAAGTGATACATTTCAAGTGCTTTATTTTACCGTAACATCAACATTTTTTTATGAAGCCCAACCCAGTCAAGGTGTTTTAGTCTAAATACTTTACACAAATAAACATCTCTTTTTGGGTAGGCTGATATTTCCTTATTAAAAATTTTTGTTTTTATTAATCTTACAATATTAAAATTTTCTGTGAAATGAACTTTGGCGTATTTAAGCCATTCAAACTAACAGTAATAAATGTTTAAAATGCATTACACATTCTGTATATATTATATCTAATTTATATAAAAATAATATTTGAGTTTATTTTTAATTCGTTTACCGGATAAATTAACTTCCTGATGATTTTGTTGTTCATTGAAATGCATCTTTTAGTAGCGTTACCTTTCACATGTTCGACAGGAAACCTGATCCACTTGGGTTACCTTAACGAGAAAGTCTTAGAAGAAGAGGCCAACCATTTCGTCAAGGACCTGACCGACATGTTGTCGTACTGCCAAAGATACGTTTCGCAAAAGAAGTCCAACTTGACGCATTGGCACCCTGTCCTGGGCTGGTTCTCTCAAACGGTGGACTACGGGTCAGTGATTCTTTAAACATTTAAATTAAACCAACAGTTTAAAGTCAAACTTTGAGTCCAAGTAGAACCAGAACACAAAATGAGAAGACTTTGCAGAAAAAATATCATTAGGGCATAGTTCTGTAGAGCAAAATGCAGCTTAAACCTTTGGCTTTTTAAAAATACTCTGTCTTTAAATTCATACAAATATAAAATGTTGTCAGCAACTCCCTGTGTGTGTGTGTTTTTTTTATTGGGATTATTTACAGATTTTCTTTGCTTTAACTGATTTCTTTTTCTTTTTGTCTTGTCACTTTTATTGAAAACAACGTTCCTCATTCTTCGTCTCCATCTCTTGTCTCTTTTTCTGTTTAGTCTCAATGAATCAATGCCTCTGGTCACTAAACAGCTTCAGCATCTGTGGGGCGTATCTGTCATTCGAACTCTCTTCAGCGACGTCCTCTCCAAGAAGCTGGAGAGTCAGGAGTCCACCCCGCCGCCGCCGCAGCCGAGCACATCTCAAAACAATCTACCCGTTAAAAGTAAGTTATCAAGGTTGAGCCTGCAGAATGTTTCGCCACTGAGAATTTTCTGTGTAGCTCAGGACGTATTGTGTCTGGATTTTCCAAGATCTTTTTAAGAGAGCGTTTCAGAAGTCTGCTTCTGTGAGGAACATCCTGAAACCCGTTGGAGGAAAGCGAGTGGACTCTGCTGAAGTCCAGAAAGTATGCAGCATCTGTGTGCTCTACCAGACTACTCTGTCCACGCTGACCCAAATACGCCTGCAGATACTCACCGGTCAGCTCACCACTCACACTGTTTTTTTGGAAATACTGTTTTAGATCATTAGGAATGAAGCCCTGATCCTGTTCTTTTAACTCAGGTCTCACACATCTCGATGACCTTTTACCCAAACTCTGGGCTTTCATCTGTGAGCTGGGTCCTCAGGGGGGGCTCAAACTGTTCATGGAGTGTCTCAACAATGATACCGAGGAGTCCAAACAGCTCCTCGCTATGCTAATGCTGTTCTGTGACTGCTCCCGTCATCTTATCACGTAAGTGGAGAGATTTTCTCTATTTAAGGTCTACTCTGGCTGTAGGCACAATTATTTAATTACCTGGAAATGGATTGCACCTTTAATTGGGAATGAATTAAATTTGGAATTTCATTAAACAGAATCATATTTAGATATAATTAAATTATTTAACCTCAGTTTTTCTTCACATTACTTTTAAATGATTCCAATTGTGATTGTGGAAGACTGTGGCTCAGGGGTTAGAATAGATGTTTGACAGTCTGAAACTATTTGGATCACTCCTGTTAGACATTGATATGCCCCTAGGAAAGGGACTTAACTCTTAGTAGCCTGCTGATGAATATTTGGATTAGTGAGAGTAATTAGATGTATGAGGCTGTAGTGTAAATCACTTGGATTGTATAGAATAATGATGTAAAATCAGTTAATTTATTATATAAAGCCACACAAATAACTAAGATATTACTTTTTCAGAATTTTGGATGACATTGAAGTCTATGAGGAGCAAACATCCTTCAAGATAGAGGAACTCGTCACCATCTCCTTTTTTCTGAACACATTTGTGTACAAAATGATTTGGGATGGTATTTTAGGTGAGTCTGTTTTTTTTTTTCGTTACCAGAAAAGCTGTGATGTGAAATTTTAAATCGCCTTGTTAGGGTTTTACAGATTTAGGATTTTTATTGAATTTGATGGAAGTAACATCTATAACCGGATGTTTGAGAAGGAAAATAGAGCATTTAAAAATATTATTTTATATGCTAAAAGCAACATCCATCCATCCATCCATCCATCCATCCATCCATCCATCCATCCATCCATCCATCCATCCATCCATCCATCCATCCATCCACTCGTCATTCTATCCGTCCATCCATCCAATTCGAGATTAAACTGCTGCTGTTTTGTCAGTTTCATCATTACTCTGTTAAACCAGAGAATGAATGCATTTTTTTCACGCTTTGTTTGTGTTTTTTTTAAAACGGCAGTAAATCAAACACCAGTCTAAGATTATGAGAGGAATCAACCTGAGTGAAAAAAAGAGAAAAAATAAGATCAGGAATCACAGTTTATATATAAACTAATTAACTACAAGTTAAGGAAAAAAATAATAGTCAGGAAATAAGCACTCAACTTCTAGTGCTTAAAACGGATTAAATACCCAAAGTTTATTATAGATCAATTCGGTCTGTGGAAAAGCAGAAATGTTTATAACCAGAGCATCTCCACTCGTGGGGATAAGGCTTGGTCAGAAAATGGGCTGAATACCTTTGATGAAACCACTTGACCAGTTACATTTTTCATGGAAATCTTTAAGCTTTCAGAGAAGATCTGATCAACCAATTAGAAGATGACTTAGGGGGAATTTGAAATAGCCAAATTTCAATTTTTGTCTTTCCATTATGACCATATGGTCACATCATCAAATAACATAAAACATGCATATTAAGATTTTTGCATAAATAATAATTCATTAGAGCTATGACTAATCTTTAATTCTGGTAAAGCTTTATTGATTTCATATCCATTATTCACAAGAAGAAAAACTTATAATGTATCAGACATTCTCCATGTTGTTGAAACCTGCATGAATAAGAAGGAAGTCAATCTTCATCCATGGCTAATAGAGGCTGTGTGGTGTGACTGAGAGAAAACCTGGAAAAGCAGGTTAAAGTTGACAGCTGAGCTGTTTTTTTTTCCAAAGTTTCATATGTAAATCCTGAGCTTTAGAAATATATGTCATACATTTATTATGCGTGTTTTTGTAAAATGTAAAATGCGTGACTTTGTAAAAAAAATAATGGAAGAAAATCAAGGAACTAAGGTCTGTGAGCACTGTGACATCTTTTGATACATTTTTTGCTTTATAGAAAATGCAAAGGGAGAAAAACTGGAGCTTTTTCATAGCGTTCATGGTTGGCTGATGGTGCTCTATGAACGGGACTGCAGGCGCAGGTTCACCCCTGATGACCACTGGCTTCGCAAGTAAATAGTTCAAGACTCTGTCAGCTCTCATAATGGTTTCCAATTTTGGGATTTCCCATTTCGTGATGAATTCATTTTCCGTTCTATTCAGGGATCTGAAGCCGAGCTTATTGTTTCAAGAGCTGGAAAAAGGGAAAAAAAGAGCCCAGCTTCTCCTGCAGTACATCCCACATGTTATACCGCATAAAAATGTAAGTAAACAGGATTCTTCAGATCAAGCATTTGCCGTATCTATTTTCTTTTTTGCATTGTTTGTATCAAATTTCCTGCCTTTGTGATTTCAGAGAGTGCTGCTGTTCAGAAACATCGTCACAAAGGAAAAAGAAAGTTTAGGGTTGGTAGAAACCAGCTCAGCTTCTCCACATGTCACCCATATCACTATTCGCCGCTCACGGATGCTGGAGGTATGCAGCAGAAAAATGCACGTTCATTTTTACATATTTTGTTTTTGTTGTTTTCTTAATAATTGAATTGAACTTGAATTCCCATTATGAAGGATGGATACGACCAGCTCCGCCGGTTACCGGTGAATTCCATAAAGGGAGTTATTCGTGTGAAGTTTGTCAATGACCTTGGAGTGGACGAGGCTGGAATCGATCAGGATGGAGTCTTCAAAGAGTTTCTAGAGGAGATCATTAAAAAAGTTTTTAATCCTGCCCTCAATCTCTTCAAGGTAAGCCAGACAAACGGTCCACTTTGTTTTTCTCTAGCTATCTTATTTCTGCAGCTTTTGCTTTGATCTTCCAGACTACAAGTGGAAATGAAAGGTTGTACCCGTCACCCACATCCTACATCCACGAGAACCACTTGCAGCTCTTTGAGTTTGTTGGGAAAATGCTTGGTAAAGCTGTTTATGAGGTAATTTTATTGCTTGAAGTGGTCATTTCTGGGTTTGTTTCTCTAAATTATGGGATCATTAGTTTGTATGTGTTCCCAGGGCATTGTTGTGGATGTTCCCTTTGCATCGTTCTTCCTCAGTCAAGTCCTGGGCCACCACCATAGTACCTTCTACAGCTCCATAGATGAGCTTCCCTCTCTGGATTCTGAATTTTACAAAAACCTTACTTCCATTAAGGTCAGAGTCAGTTAATTGGCTTATAAACAGTCTGGAACAAAAGTGGAATATGCCCTCGTCTTTACTTCCAACTTAGTTTGTAAAGCGTTTTTTTTTTTTTTCAGCGCTACGATGGTGATGTCGGAGATCTAGGACTGACTTTGTCCTATGATGAGGATGTTATGGGACAGGTAAATACTTTATTGAAATATATAGTAGGTGTTCTATCAAATAGTATCTAAAAGTGCATGTGTTCTTTACAGCTTGTCTGTCACGAGCTCATACCTGGAGGAAAAACTATGCCAGTCACCAATGAGAACAAGTATATTAAAATATGAATTCCATTATTGAAAACATGTGTCTGGTTTGTAAAAGTTTCCTTTGCCAAGTCACAGTCAAACCCTTATGTCATATTCACCCTCAACTGCAGGATCAGCTACATCCACCTGATGGCTCACTTCCGGATGCACACACAGATTAAGGAGCAAACAGCCGCTTTTATCCGGGGCTTCCGCAGCATCATTAACCCAGAATGGCTGCACATGTTTTCCACGCCTGAGGTGCAGCGGCTCATCTCAGGGGATAACGCTGAGATTGATCTCGATGACCTCAAGTAAGCAGAGTCTTTCTTTTTTCTTTTTTTTTTTGTCATTCTGAGGTAAACAAATTTTCTTTTCTGTTAATTGGGCCAGTTTTAAATGCTTTTTTATCATTTTTCCTGCATCTTTCAGAAAGCACACAGTCTACTATGGAGGTTTCCACAGCAGCCACCGTGTCATCATCTGGCTGTGGGACATCCTGTCCAGTGACTTTAATGCTGAAGAGAGGGCCATGTTCCTTAAAGTAGGTTTCAGTTTGTTTTACAGAATTAAATGTTTTCAAACACAGTGATTTTACTATTACTTGCTTTTTAAATATGTTTTCATAGTTTGTTACCAGCTGCTCAAGGCCACCTCTTCTAGGGTTTGCTTACCTCAAACCACCCTTCTCCATCCGCTGCGTGGAAGTTTCAGATGATCAGGTATGTGGTATCATGGGTTCAATGAGGCTTCTTCTGAGTTTTGGGTGGGAAAGGCTGGAAAAAGCTGCAGTTTTCTGCACTTTCCATCTTGTACCAGATTCTCTTAAGTTACACTGGCTTTCGATAGTATTTGGACCGGTTAAACTTTTCTATCTTTTGTCACATTTCAGGCTTCAAACATAGAAATATAAAGTCGGAAAATAAAGTCAGAATTTTTTTCTGTACGAACAAGTTGGAAACAATCATGAAGTGTAACAAAATTTCTTGGCTACAAATAAAAAACTGAAGATAGGGGGCATGTACAATTATCGGCCCCTTTACTTTCAGTGCAGCAAACTCTCTCCAAAAGTTTAGTGAGGGTCTCTGAATGATCCAGTGTTGACCTAAATGACTGATAATGATAATTAAAATTCAGAGACTTGTGTAATCAAGTCTCTGTATTAATGAACCTGTACTGTTTTAATCTCAGAGGTCTTTTAAAGCACAGAGAGCATCACAAAGTACAAGGAACACAGGTCTAAGATACTGTTGTGGAGAGTTTAAAGCCGAATTTGGATACAAAAAGATTTTCCAAGCTTTAAACATCCAAATGAGCACTATGCAAGGGATTATGTTGAAATGGAAGCAGTATCAGATTGTTGCAAATCTACGAAGACCCTCTAAACTTTCAGATCAAACAAGAAGAAGACTGATCAGAGATGCAGCTGAGACGCCGACCACATTTCACAAAGATATCCATAAAAAGTCTTGTTTAAGGTTTTTCATAAGGCACCTGGGAGACACAGCAAACATGTGAAAGAAGGTGCTCTGGTCAGATTAAGCCAAAATCCAACTTTTTGGCAACAATCCAAAACGTTATTTTTAGTTAAAAAGCAACACAGCTCATTACCCTGAACCCACCACCCCCAGTGTCAAACACGGTGGTTGCAGCATCATGGTTTGGGTCTGCTTTTCTTGAGCAGGGACAGGGAAGATTCTGGAAGAAAACCTGTTACTGGGACTGAGATTTATCTTCCAACAAGACAATGATCCAAAACCTGAAGCAAAATCTACAATGGAATGGTTCACAGGTAAACATATGCAGGTGTTAGAGTGGCCACGTCAAAGTCCAGACCTGAATCTAATCAAGAATCTGTGGAAAGAACTGAAAACTGCTGTTCTAATGCTCCCCATCAAACCTCACTGAGCTCCAACTGTTTTGTAAGAAAGAATGGGTCAGTCTCTCCATGTGCAAAACTGAAAGAGACATATCCAATTACTTCCAGCTGTAATCGCAGGAAAAGCTGGCACTACAAAATATTAACTCCAGGCTGAATCATTTTGTGCATCCAATTTTCTGCTTTTTATTTGTTAAAAAAAGTTTAAAATATCCATTAAATGTTGTTCCACTTCATTATTCTGTTCCACTTGTTGATGGTTCTTCACAAAAAAAATACAATTTAATATCTTTATGTTTAAAGCCTGAAATGCGGCAAAAGGTCCCAAAGTTAAAGGGAGCAGAATACATTCACAAGGCACTGCATATCTACTGTAGCCCTTAAAAGTTTACACTTTCCTTCTCAACTGACTGATGGACCCTGTAACCACCATCAGTAGTTGGAGCAGACTCTTTTTGGGTCAGAAATGACTGCGATATTTTTATAATACTATACATTTAATGATACTATATATTTTCAGGCTTTCTTACCTTTCTGCAAACTACTGCTCTAAGTAAAAGTTGGACCAGAGAAAAATGTCAGCACAAAGTATATCTTAGATTCCCTATAAAAGATGTCTGATGTGACTTAATGCTCTACATGATTAAAAAATGCTTCAAACAGGTTATTGCGCTTTGTTTATCTGATTACATTTGTTGTTTTTAGATGAATTGTGCAGAACATATTTCCTGACATATAGGGGAAAAAGGGTCTCAGTTATATTTTTAGGCCACAAAAAAATCCATCAAATACCTGTGAGACATGCTCAGAAAAAATTATTTATGCACATTGATGGCTTTATTAAATGTTTACATTTTGTCTGCTGTGTTTAGGACACAGGGGATACCCTCGGCAGTGTCCTTAGGGGCTTCTTCACGATCCGGAAGAAGGAGCCCGGTGGTCGACTTCCTACTTCGTCTACGTGTTTCAATCTTCTCAAGCTGCCCAACTACAGCAAAAAGAGCATCCTGCGTGACAAACTGCGCTACGCCATCAGTATGAATACAGGCTTCGAGCTCTCCTAACTCTGCTTTGGGACAATCTGCTCAGAGTGGATGTGTTAAAAAAAAAAACGTGAGCAGGAGGCACATTAAAAAGCCATCGGTTAAAGGAAGAAGATGGAGGATGAAAGATATAATCTCTTTTTGGCCTCAGTGCCACCCGGATGAGCTCTGACGGAGTTAAACCTGCTCTGTGTCTCAAAGTGGAAGCTGGTCCTGCTAGGCAGTAACGTTTTTTTTTTTTTTTTAACGAATGGGCATTTCATATATTTGACATAGTAACACACAATTATACCACTAGTTTAATCTCCATTTCTCAGGCTTAACAGAATAACTCTTTGATCTGAGGCCACCACTTTAACACAACTGGAAAGCAATACGGATGCAAAGCAAGCCATCAGAAACAAAGTCGACTGATCATTATTGATATGTTGTCACGTCTGATGAATCCGGAAAATGCATTTTCAAAAATGTTCATTTCTTTTTGTGTGTAAGACAAATCCGTGTCTTTAACCCCAGAGAAAAAAAAGAGCGTACTCAAAGCCTTGGCCTGGCATTAATAACCCTCTGGAGGATCATTTAAACTTGCTAAAAGGAAACTGATTGACCCTTGAGATCTGTTCTGTTCTGTGTATGTCTGAGAGTCAAGCATCGCCCTCAGTTCTACTCAGAGTATAATCATTGCTGTTATTTGATATAAAGATGTCCTTGCTGTAGCATCAGTTACCTTTAAGAAAAGAAAAAGAACTGAAAATAATTTGTCAATGTTTTTACCTTCTGGGTAGAGCAGATCTGTCCTATGTACTACATCTCTTCTTAACACTTACTTTTTAAATCATGAAGTAGATCAGTCTTGTATGTATTTTATACCAGAAAACCATGTTTGCTCCACCTCATATTAATGCTGAGTGCCTCATGTCTAACCATTACCACATTCTAGTACGTGTAGTTTCCTTCAACTCTTAACGAACTACCACTTTTTGGAAGAAAAAGCCATAGATATTTGGGCTGTGGTCCTGGACTTCTTCTCTAAAAGGAACAGAGTACAAACTGTAACAACCATGGTGGTTTTACTGTCAATCCCTCTGAACTCTGTGGACTTTTTTCTTTAAGCCATCTCTCCCTCTGAAGACCTTTTAAAATGATGTCACAGACTGACTTGTCAACCAAATACAATGACTCGATTGGATGGCGTTCCCTTGAAAATGTGGCACTGGTATGAGTCTGAATATTCTTTCAAACAGGGTTTTACACCAGAAAGTCACGTAATCAGAAAAAAACAACCCACTTTGACTCAACGATTTTAAGAAACATTTTAAAATCTTCAGTTTCTTTAATATGCAAGAATAGGTTTTCTGTTATGAATGACAATTTGTTTCTAACTACTTGAACTATGGCCTCTAACGTGTTTAAAAAGTGAATGTGTGTATAGGGCTGGTGGAAATTTTACATACACTACGTATAATTATGAATAACATTCATTTTGAACTTTTAAAAGCACATCTGAAGGAGTCTGATGTGATCATGTAGCACTCAACGAGTGATTTTTAAAGAAAATATAATTGGTTGCACAAGTTTAATTTTTTTTTCTTTTGTGTAAAACTGTACAAACAGCATTAAATCCATACATATAGGTCCCAGTAGTTGGTTTAATGTCAATTATCTATATGCAAATTGAAATGCTTTATATGTCTATCAAATATCTTCTGGTGTATCTGGCTGGAGGTTTGGACGCACTTCTTAGCAGAAATGGTCAAAGGTATTGATTTATTGGCACACTGTAATCATATTCCATGAATTTGAAGTAGGATTAAGGCTGTCTGTAGAGATCAGTGGTTGAATGGTGCAAATAGTTTTGTGTGGGATCACTTTGGATCACCCAAGCCTGCCCCTATCAGCCATATGACCTTGGTTTCCTGGTACTGCCCGTCTACATTTAGGATCATTGTCCTGTTGAAACACCGACTTCTGTCCATTTTTTTTTAAAACAACTTACTGCTCATTTTAGGCAAACTGAGGAATTTTGAAGTGATAACCTTTCATTATTGCATCTGCTTTGTGTGTTTTAATAGTACTGCTACAGCCCTAATTCCCTGATCAGAATGCTGCTGCCGCCATGTCTGGGTGCTGTTACTGTGCTTTAGAATGTGCTTGTGTTTGTGGGGTCAAAAACATTCATCATCATAAAGGCTTGGCATTAATTAGAACATTTAAAATGTTAACCCTAGCTAAACTTTACAGTTTTTGATCCCTACACATGAAAAAAAATTGAAATCTAGATAAATCCTGTTTTTCTTAAAATAAATGCATTTGTTCTTTGATTGAGGAGGTGAAAGAGACATTTTGCCAATGGAACAAGATAATTTACATGTAAAATAAGAAAACACAATTGCATTGTCTTATTTCAAGAGAATATTATTGAATTATCTTATTTTAAGAGTAAAAATCCTCATTTCATTGGCAAACTATCTCATTTACCTACACAAATTAAGGGTATGTACACTTAATTTAAGAATTAAGATTAGATCGTTTTTACAGTGTAGTTTCGATCCCCAGTCGGCCAACTGAAAGAGGCCCAGTTATACAATTAAAGAGGGTATGTAAGACTCCACTCCTCTTTCATTGCAGGGCATCATCTAAATTGACAAGACATATGCCTGATGATGCTGCAAGGATCCAGCAGACCAATGGCTCCTTATTGCCGTTTAATTTTTCTCATACATACCAGGATGTTCCCAAAGTTTTGTGGTCCTCATAATGTCCCATTTTCCTTCATTATCACAACCTGTGAAAGCATGTGTGCCAACAAGAGCATCGAATAGGTCGACCACAAGGAGCTGGAAAAGGTTTCTGACTATGAGTGCCACATTACAGATAGATGACATCTGTATCCTCACTAACAACACCTGTGGCTTGGTTCTGACTGGCATGGTTAGTATGTAAAAGATTCTGCATTTTTCCCTTTTCCTGGGAAGATTTTACTTGTTTCGATGAGATTCCAGTCTGTTTCCTCGACAATAGTGTGTCTCTCCAGAGAGTGTAAACACCATCTTATTCTTAAGCATTTGATAATCCTGTCAAACACCACATCTGTAACTCCACTATGTCCTCCCTCACTATTTGCTTCGGCGCAGATCCAGCAGACATGTTATCTTCCTGTAATCTGGATTAGAAATTGCCCAACGCAGTGAAACAAGTGGATGAACCAAGACATAAAAAAATATATATATATATATACACCGGTATATATATATATATATATATATATATATATATACTTTACAAGACCACCTATTTCTTTTCTCAGTATTACTCTATGATTTTTATGCTTGAGAATGCATTCAAGTTCTGTTTTTTCATTGTGTTATGGAACATAGTTTTTGGGGATCCTTTTTTCTAAATTTCCTGTTGAACTCTTATAGGCTTTCTCTCCAGCCTGGGGAGTTTGCAGCAAACCATGGCTGTGTTTGGGGATTCCTCCAGAAAGAGTAATAATATGTAAATTAAATTGGGGTTAGGGGTTTACCCAACTTTTCTCCATTAATTCTAAAAAACTTTTGACCTTTTTCCTGTGCTGCTCTGCTCCATGTGTTTGTAGATCTTAATATTTTCCAGATCTGTCTTAGATACTGAGATCTCTTTTCTGCAGTGAAATATTATCTGGTCACAGCTCCAATTTTTAAGCACCATGGAATGAAGGCCGTGTTTTCTGCATGATGCATCATCCACTATCCTTCTCTTGATGTTTGATTTGGAGAAATCCCAACAATATCCATGCAAAGCATTAATAACACTAAGAGGGGACCATTGTATTCTCTGAGGTAGGAACTCATTGAAATGTATCAAAGTGAGTTGACATGAGGCTTGCTCAAGGGTTTCTTCAAATCTAGGCTGTGGTGCTTCATCACACAAGTTGTCGACTTCTTTCAGTTTCTTTAAGTCGAATCCTCAGGATGGTTTTGCTCAAGCAAAGGATAAAACCTTTCCAGGCTTGCGTCAGGACAGCCTCATATGTTACATCAACAACCCCTGTGATTGAACCATCAGCTATCTCATATTTTTAAAGGTCCAAAACACCAGCTTCTGCAAAATATTTTCTTAACTGTTGCCATGAAAAAGCAGTTGGTATAAAATTAGCCGTATTTTAATTAAATAATTTTTTATTAAAACTAAACCCTCTAACTGAATGGCAAAATCCAAAATCCCATTGTTCACCTTTCAGTGAAATAAATATATCAATTGGTTGGAATTAAGGTGTAGTGAAAAATGTATGGAAGATCAATGATGTTGGGGATAGCTTCTTTGACAGGACACTTATCAGCCGCTTCCGCTTTTTCCTCCGGCTCCAACACTCAGCATAGCACTGCACTGCAGACAGAATCTGGTAAGTGAAGTAATATTGTATAGGTTATTTAGTTAAAGCGCCTGCAGTCAAGTTTTTAAATATAAAGGTCTCTCAATAAAAGTCTAACCCTGTGAAAAAACCCCTGTTAATAATATTACTATTTTTGAAAATAACCCTGATTTCTGTTAACATTAAAAAGGCAAAAACATTCACGTTCAGACTATTACAAGCAGATAGATTCCTGATTAGATCATTTAACACACGTATCCTTTTCTAACCCGTCCTCATAAAAATATCTAAATCAATCGCAACCAGAATCAAAACGAGAAACTAGACTCTGTTCCGGAATCATATTATATGAATGTTGGATAGACAAGGGATGTATTTTGCAATGAGGCCATTATTTGCAGCCAATGAGAAGGACTGATAACAATTGATGGATTACATTTAGTCAGTTTCTGTTTACTGACAGTTGTTTTGGGGAGATTTAAAATTTGAATTAACTATATAAGCTGTATATTTATATTTAACGTATATTTGTTAAATGTAGATTTATAAATAAGATAAAAATCGAAATGAGTTACAAAATAAATGTAACATTTATATATAGTTATGGAGGTGCGGAAATATATCTTATAAAGGTTTTTAAAATATTTAGATATAGATTTAAAGTTGATACTTTTTAAATAGTAAAATACTGTACACATTGCAGTAACATGGAAACCCGTCCAGATGAATCCAATTTAGTACTAGCTAAAAATTATAAAATGTGATGTCTTTTTAAAGCACATTTTAATTTGTAATCACCCTCTCCCAATGAAGATATCTTCAGCCTCAACAGGTCCTTCCAGAAAAGGACGTTACATCTCCAAGCTTGCATGTGCAGATCTTAGCTATAAAAAAGGGAATACTCAGTCTCTCCAAACAACTCTTGTTACAGAGAGTACAGTAGTTGTCTTAATTTCACTTAGGGCAATGACTTCCTTTCTTTCTGAAATGGAAGAGTTTACAATTTACCCCAGAACCTACTCTAGATTTCCACTAAACCTATTTTGTGAGGGCCCAGCTCCCCTTGTGTTGTTATTTACATTAAACGATAATTAAAAAAAAACAAGCTCCAATCCTCTCTGTGCCTCCTGTCAAATATATACACTATATTGCCAAAAGTATTTGCTCACCTGCCTTGACTCACATATGAGCTTAAGTGACATCCCGTTCCTAATCCATAGGGTTCAATATGACGTCGGTCCACCCTTTGCAGCTAGAACAGCTTCAACTCTTCTGGGAAGGCTGTCCACAAGGTTTAGGAGTGTGTTTATGGGAATTTTTGACCATTCTTCCAGAAGCGCATTTGTGAGGTCGCACACTGATGTTGGACGAGAAGGCCTGGCTCTCAGTCTCCGCTCTAATTCATCCCAAAGGTGTTCTATCGGGTTGAGGTCAGGACTCTGTGCAGGCCAGTCAAGTTCATCCACACCAGACTCTGTCATCCATGTCTTTATGGACCTTGCTTTGTGCACTGGTGCACAGTCATGTTGGAAGAGGAAGGGGCCAGCTCCAAACTGTTCCCACAAAGTTGGGAGCATGGAATTGTCCAAAATGTCTTGGTATGCTGAAGCATTCAGAGTTCCTTTCACTGGAACTAAGGGGCCAAGCCCAGCTCCTGAAAAACAACCCCACACCATTACCCCCCCTACACCAAACTTTACACTTGGCACAATGCAGTCAGACAAGTACCGTTCTCCTGGCAACCGCCAAACCCAGACCCGTCCATCAGATTGCCAGATGGAGAAGCGCGATTCGTCACTCCAGAGAACGCGTCTCCACTGCTCTAGAGTCCAGTGGCGGCGTGCTTTACACCACCGCATCCGACGCTTTGCATTGCACTTGGTGATGTATGGCTTGGATGCAGCTGCTCGACCATGGAAACCCATTCCATGAAGCTCTCTGCGCACTGTTCTTGAGCTAATCTGAAGGCCACATGAAGTTTGGAGGTCTGTAGTGATTGACTCTGCAGAAAGTTGGCGACCTCTTCGCACTATGCGCGTCAGCATCCGCTGACCCCGCTCCGTCAGTTTACGTGGCCTACCACTTCGTGGCTGAGTTGCTGTCGTTCCCAAACACTTCCATTTTCTTATAATACAGCTGACAGTTGACTGTGGAATATTTAGGAGCGAGGAAATTTCACGACTGGATTTGTTGCACAGGTGGCATCCTATCACAGTTCCACGCTGGAATTCACTGAGCTCCTGAGAGCGACCCATTCTTTCACAAATGTTTGTAAAAACAGTCTGCATGCCTAGGTGCTTGAATTTATACACCTGTGGCCATGGAAGTGATTGGAACACCTGATTCCAATAATTTGGATGGGTGAGCAAATACTTTTGGCAATATAGTGTATATGTTCATGTCCTCAAAGCTGGCAACACAACAATGTTAAGATTTATTTTTTATCCTTGTTTGTAAAAGAGACTTTTAAAAATAACTGCTTGTTGAATCAAGATTTATACAAACTACTGAAATATTGCAAATGCATGTAGTGTTTTTTTCTCTCAGTTCAGATAAATTCTTGATTAAAAACACCTGTTTTAACCACTGGCTGGCTGACATGCTGCTAGGCTGAAGTTGTGTCCTTATTCACCTTGTGTTTTTTTTTCTTTCTCTAAATACCACCCATGGGGGATTATGGTGTAAATGCGCACGCATGAGTCAAACGTCTCCCACCAGCTCACTTCCTGGGCCGTGTTTATCGCCACAAAGAGATTAACAGAAGTTCTCCTTGTGAAGATTTTCCATCTTTCTGCTGCATTTGTTTGTCTCAGCGTAAACTGTAACATGATGAGCAGCCCACCGAGTCCATCTCCAACCCGATGGTTTAAAGCCCTACGCAGGTAAATTCATTTCACTTTGAAGACATCTGCATTTATAATATTTCTAAATTTTTAATTCCTAGAAATAAATGGGATTATAAAAAGAATCTGTGGCCTTTAGGGTGGTTGGAGGTCAGTCTGCAGCACTGTTAGTTTATATGCATCACCTGATTTGGCTGGAGTTGTTAGGATTTTCTACTATCCTCCCTGCCAGTGGGGATTTTTACTGAGTGGGTGCTGAGGCTTAACTTTAAATGAGCCCATTTAAAGAAGCTAAATCAACACTGCTGATTCTTTGACTCGATTTAAAACATGAGTGGGAAAATCAGAGCATGCTATGTTTGTCAGAGGAATGGTCGTCTAACCTGCAGAAGGTATAGTGGTAATGTAGATTGGAAATGTTCCTGAGAATGACCACAATCATGCTGACAGTAGTTTGTTCTTCCAGGACCAGGCTGGGAGAACCCTGTTTAAGAACATACCCTCTGGAGTGTGTGGATCTGCTGAGGAGGGCAAGAATCGCCTTTCAGGCTGGACGCACCCTGAAGGAAGATTTCAGACTGGCCCAGCTGGAGGCTGTGGTACGAATGATAGAGGAGCATGAGTGTGACTTTGTGGATGCTCTTGGAAGGGACCTTCATAAGGTACATTGTCTGTCTTCTTTCAAACATTTAGTGAGAACAAATGAGTGGTTTACTTCTGATTCCTAATAAATTGTTGTTTTGTTGCTCAAACTCAGAAGGAAATTTTAAACATAAGGATTATTGGTGCTTACAGCAAAGGAAAGCCCAAATTTCTGTTTCTTAAAAAGCAATAATATTACATTGGACCAATGCATATTGTTTTTAAACAAAGAAATGTTATGCTATGGCAGGGTTATGAAGTAAAAAAATTGGAAGTTTGAAGTCCTGATGATTTGTTTTTCATGAAGCCTGCCATACACAGACGGGGCTGTATAACAGTTCATAGTGCTCCAACATTGGCTGATGTTAGGGAATTGTCTAAAAGTGCAAAATAGGAAACAAGATAACGCCATCCACAAGAATGTGCCACAAATGGTAATTGCTGCAAGAAACAGACTGCTCACAAAGAGCTTAATCCAATACCACTAACTGAAAGTTTAATGACAGGAAAAAGGACGCTGAAAAAATATTTTTAACTTACTGACTGAGGCTGGATTGAATGATTTAGCCACAGTCACTAAAATTCAATGAAAAACATGCTTCAATTTAATATGACTGAGTTCCAACTTTTAAACTTAATTACGAAAAACTGGTCACTTAGATGTACCTGGAAATGTACCTGAAAATGGAGATATAAAGTGTTTGTCTCATCGCATAGATTCACTGTTTTCTTTCTGTTTCAACCAGCCAAGGTTTGAGACGGTCGTTTTTGAGCTGATCATGGTTAAGAATGAGGCTCTTCATGCCATCAACAATCTGAAAAAGTGGATGGAACCTCAGTCTGTGGAAAAGAATCTGGTGAGAAACCTGTTTGGGTTGCCTTATTTCTCCAAAACATCTTCATAGCAAATAGATTGGGATTATTTAAGGCTTACACAACCTTTTTAGGGGGGGAGGAAAACATTCCAGTCTGGTTTCCACAATGAAATCCATTGTACTTGGTCCAACAAAGCAGATTAAGATTAAGTTGCATTGACCTTTTAAGAATTCAAGTCTTTTCCTTGGCTATATATAGAAATATTTTCACCTGTACTCTAATTTTGAACCTGTGCAGTCCACATGCTTGGATGAGTGTCTGGTGGTCAATGAGCCACTGGGAGTTGTGTTCATCATGGGGACCTGGTGTTGTCCTGTCCAGATGTGTTTGGTTCCTCTGGTTGGAGCAATTGCAGCCGGTAAGCAGGAGAACAGTTTTGTAAACACAACACAGCACATTCAGGAGAATCTCACAGCAGCCGATGTTTTTGCCGTTAATGTAGGAAACTGTGCTCTCCTCAGTCCCTCTGAGCACACCGTGCACACAGCAGAGCTGCTGCATCGTCTAATTCCTTTCTACTTAGATAATGTAAGTAAGCCAGTTATTCAATGCAATTTCACCTCCCAAAAAGAGTCGGATAATGTAAAACGTAGGAGGGGGATTACTGAAGTTTCAAAGAGGAATAATTTTGCTGCTTCATTGTTTTTATTTTGTAACATTTATGGAAATTCCTTCAAATATCTAAAGGAAAACAAACAAAAGGGGGTAAAAACACAATAAATAAAAAAAGAAATTCAAAAATAGCAGTTGAGCCAAAATGCATTGGGATGAGTTATGTTCAGTGGTTCTTTTTTTTAACTTTTTGTTGTTTGTTAATTGTGTTCAATTATTTGTTTTTGTAAAAGTGCTTGAAATTGTCAAAATATTGTTTTTTTATGTCTCAAAAGTGATTTTTTTTTCTGAATTCTTTCTGATTTTTTTCTGAATTTATTCTCATAATATACTGTACCATAGCCCCTTTGTTTTATAAAGGGCTTTATAATAGCAATGATCATCAAAGTGCTTAACAAGTACAAGTCAAATTAAAATAAAAAAGGAAAACAGACAAGCTAGGAGATAAAACAATAAGATGGGTTCAAAACTGTTATATGGTAAAAAAAAAAAAAAAAAGAAAATTTGTAGCAGTATATCAAGTATGATTGTTTTCTTGACCCCAACATTATCATGGTACAAACATTTTGAATCTGACATTCTTGCTTAAGATCATGATATGGAAACTTTTTTCCTCAGCAGTTGATGTATAAAAGTAAAATAGAAGGAAGTAGATTAAAATAAATATGTATTATATTAAGGTAATATGGACACCGTCATTAAACAGTGGCTGATATAGTGGCGCACAGCTAAAAGCAGAAAGGTCCGAGGCTCACTGATCAGTTTTCAGATTTATTAGAAAACTTTAGATTTTTCCTAAGCTATACAGGAATTAATTGTCCTAATGGCTGTTGGATCAAAGCTTGCCTAATAAATGTGACCTAAAAAAATCTCTATATAACCAACATTGGAGAAAGATGATGTAATAAGATGTATACAGTCAGTCTTGCTTGTTTTTTGTCTTTATCAATACTTGAACTATGATTTATTTTCAGTTTGCTTTAACAACAGGAAGGATAACATTTGAGGGAAAAGCTCTGATAAAACATTTTTGTTTTTCCTCAAGGAATGCTTCCATGTGATTCTTGCAGGCATCAGTGACTTGCCTGAGATCGTGGAGCTTAAATTTGACCATGTCTGCTACTCAGGTAACGTCCTCTTCATCATTTTAACACACATTTCATGGGTTTAATGGTTGTTTCTGACCTTTAGGAAACAGGGAGGATGGAAACAAGATAGCTGTGGCTGCAGCTCGTACGCTCACACCAGTCACCCTGATTCTTGGAGGAAAGAACCCATGCTTCGTGGACCAGCACTGTGACCTGGCCACCACGGTGCAGCGTATTGCATGGGCACGTTTCCATAATGCTGGACAGAGCATAATGTCCCCCAGCTACATTCTCTGCCACACAGACGTCAAAGCACGGCTGGTGCAAGCCTTGAAATGCTGCCTAATGCAGTTCTACGGCTCTGACCCGCGAGAGTCCCGCAGCTTTGGTCGTATGGTTAATCTGGAGGTTTTCCACCGTACAAGAGAGCAGCTGTGGAGATCTGGCAAGGTGGTTATTGGTGGACAGGTGACAGAGGCAGAGAAGTATATTGGTAAGGACCTACGTCACTGACTCCCTCTAAAATGTCACCTACTTAAACATGCAAAATCTGATTAGGCTCTGCCTTTTATTTTGGCTTGAAGCTCCAACAGTTTTGGCAGAAGTGGCGGAATCGGATCCCATCATGCAACAGGAGGTTTTCGGCCCAGTTCTTCCAATACTGTCTGTAAATGATGTGGATGAGGCGATTGCTTTTATCAATAAGCAAGAGAAACCTCTCTGTGTGTATGCATATTCCACAAACAATAAGGTACATTACACCATCATAGATGATAATATTGGGTTTTTGGTTTTTCTGTGTGATTTTTTTTTTTTTTAGATAACTTCCATAAATAAATCCCCGAATCAAGTTGCAAAAATTTAAAGACTATAATTGAATACAAGTTTGAATGTGGATTTCCTATAAACCGCACAGGGTCACATTTTTTACAAACACTCCAACTAATATTTGGATAAATGTCAATAAGCAAGTTGCACCTCAGCTATTTGCCTTCTATGACGTTAAAGGGTTTAATTAATAAAACTCGACTAAAATGGTAGATTTTTTTACTGGCACAGGCCTGGCTTTGAACTTAGCTCATAAATCTGTAGATTAGCTGAGGAAGGTTGCAATTTGAAAGTTCTATTGGTGAATTTCCCCTATTGAGGATTAATAAACTATTTAATAATGTTTTGACTTTCCTCCTTTAATGCAGAAGTAAAACATGTTTCACTCATTTCGTTATGTTTTAGCAATTCTCAACTCATTGCATTCTTGGACTTTGGTTTCTGAGTTGCACCTAGAATGAGCATTAAGATCAGAGATTCTTGAGCACAGCTGAGTAATTCCTACAAGACGGTGAAACTAAAAACACAACTGGTTTTGTAATTGATTAGAGAGGCTGACGATATTCCTTTAAAGTTCCGGATCCAAACTGCTCTGAATATTTGTGAATGATAAATAAAAGCCCGTTCCAAGGAAAATACAAGTGAAACCTGCTAATGGCCAATAAACAGATTAGGAATTGGGAGTGTATGCATATCTTAGCCTAATTTTGTAACCTTTGGACTTCTAGAGCAAAATTCAGCACTGCGTACACAGTTTTTCTTTTTTCTTCACCTCCTTAAAACAAGACAGGCCAATGGATGGATGTAAATTTGTAAAACATAAACCAAAGGGGCTCTTTACGCATCTGTCTTTATTTCAATGTAGGTCATTTCCAGACTCATGAGTGAGACCTCTAGTGGCAGCTTTTGTTCTAATGACTGCATCTTTCAGAGCCTGATGGTGGCGTTGCCATTCAGTGGAGTGGGTAAGTCGGCCACTTTACAAGCACTGACATGTAAAAAAATATATATTTATTTTCATCAGTCCATGCAACATTTCCTTCTAGGTGCCTGTGGGATGGGGTCCTTTCATGGCCGCTACAGCTTTGATTCCTTCTCACACAGAAAAGCATGCTTGCTCAGAGGAACGCGCTTTGAGTGCATCACCTATCTGCGCTACCCGCCCTATGAAGACCGCAATCTGTCTCTGATGACATGGGCCTGTACGCTGTCCCAGAAGAGCCAGGGCTGGTGCCAGATCATGTGACTATCACAAATACTGCTAGCAGAAGCCCCTCAGAATGGAACTTATCCATAGCTAGTCTCATGGGAGGGAGATTCTAATTAATGTGGGGTCTAAAGGTTAATCTAAATTATTTTAGGTTTATGATTCATTGCTGTGTTTAATGTGTAAAATAATGTCACTGTACATGCACTGTTTAAGTGATTTATTTAGTCTGTACTAAAAACACTCTTGAATGTAAAAATGTCAACACAACAGAAGTATCTGAAGCCATCAATGTAGAAATACAGCTTTTGATTAATAGATGTGTTCATTCAGGTCTCCTGTAGATCTTTTCCTCTTTGGCTTCCTTCATGGCTGCATATCTGGCAACTGTAAAGAGGTAATCACTCAACCTAAGTACAAGAAAAAAGAAAAGCTGTTAGCTTTATCAGATGCTTACTTTGAATCCAAGTATTTTTAGCATATAATCCTGACCTGTTGAGGAACTTGGCAACATCTGGATCCGCCTCCCCTGAACGCACAATTGGAGCAACACTGTGTAGAAAAAAAACAGAAGTCTAGAAAACGGCAACGGTAAAACAAGAAATGTATCCAGAGTAGAAGCGTCAAAGGTCCTATACACAGGTTAAAAAAAACAAAAAAACAACACCGATGTTCAGAAGTAGATCCAGCAATCAACCCTGAAAAAAGACATCTATATAGGTCATAAATCTGTCAAATTCTGATCGGCAACACTGAGAAACAACATTATCCAAACAGTCTCTAGAAATAAAAAGCCAAACAATCTTGGGGTTGGCATAGAATTCAAAGAGAACCAATTTCCATTACAAAGCCTATGGGTTTAATGTTTAACATGTGAATCAACTTTATAACAAGATGTCTGTTGGATTCACATTTCAAAGATTAAACCCAAAAGGTTCACGAGTAAGAGTTGTTGAAACTATGTTTACATTTGAGCTTTCCCCAATTTTCTAAGTTTTATTTAGGTTACATATTAGGCGACCAAATTTTTATTCAACATTTGCTATAAAGGTAGATTCGATTGAATACAATGAACAAATAAGAAAAAATAGAGGGTAGTCTATAATTTTTCCATAACTTTACACAGTATCTGTAACATGATGCCTACACCACCATGCTCCACGGCATACTGGCATCTAATTTTAGTGTCTATTCTTTTATTTATTTGTGTAGTAATTTTCTTCCGATAGTTTGTGATCATCTTGGCTGAGCTATTATTTTCTCCACCTCTTTAAGCATTTGCCCTTTCTAATAACCTGTTTAAAATCCGCTGCATCTGTCTTTATATATTAGCTGACTGTTTTGTTTGTTTACAGAATGATCAATTAACTTCCACCCTGCTAACGTCTTCATTGGCCCCTTTTTAATCCATAACTTCATTAGACTCAATTAGCGACATTCATGTCATGGGCTAATTGGTTTATATTACTCTACTACACATTATTACATTATTTGTCATTTAGAGAAATATTTCTACCAAAAACAGATAAAGATCTGTGATTTCATTTATCAAAGATTGTAATTTATAATACAACTGTGTGTATGTAAAATAGATTTCAGGTTTATCTAGCCATGTTTAGCTCTCCTCACACCTGCATTAAGCTACAAATGGTTCGTGCAAAGCACTACATGAGAGTCGCTCTGTATTTAAATGAGCCAGCTGATGACAATTGCTAACAATTGCAAACACAGAGAGGAGAGATAAAATAAAGATAAAAAGGTTCACTAGCCGCAATAGTGGCATGACAAAAAAGATTAAGAATAGCAACAGAGTCATGGATGGACTGTTATCAATAAGGACACCCAAGGTGGCAGGCAGTACTGTGCATTATTGATACATTTAAAGATGTTTTTTTCCTCCTAATAAAAACACAGTGATTAAAAGATGCAATGAATAGAATTAAAAAAGCCAACAATCTGGATAAGCTTTCCAAGTAGCTATCTTTGAGATAAAAAGGTCAGTTTCATTGTCTTATTATATGTAGATGTTTAAGGGTGTTCCATAGCCAGGGTGAAAACCAAACTGCTCCGCTTGAAGCCAAGGTTCGACAATCAGCTAAACTCTTTTTTTTCCAGCACCCTGGTTATATTTAATTCTATTCCTTCAGTACAGTGCACCCAGCTACCCATCTGTTGTTTAGTGCATCAGAGCAGCGTGCACTGACTACCTAATATAGAGGGATGGTGGACCAGACTCTCCAATACTCAGAACATAGATCCAACAGCAATGATCTAAGGAGTCTGATTGGCTGATGTACCAGTAATCATCATCGGTCTAGAAATTTTGGTGATCCCTCAAAATTCTTCTATTTTCAAAATCCTCCAGCAGCATTAAACTGCACTAATAAACAGTATTCATCTATGGTACAACTCACCCTGTTTATCATCATCTGGGAAAGAGATGTAATGGTGAGCAATCCTTAGAATATTGTTCGCACTTAAGGGATTTGAGCTGCTCACAGGCTGAAGGAGGAGTTACACTGGAATGCTTATGAGGACCTGATCTATGATGTTTTAAATAGAGTGAAAGTTCAGAATTCAGTTTATCACCACAGAGTCTTCCCCTTTCCTCTAAAATGTGCGTACACGAGTCAGAGTTGGCGTGAGGGAACGCATTTTAATGCCGATTTAGTTTTTTGATCACAACCTTTGTACATGAAGTTGTGTATGCAATCGTGATAAATCCAATCCCTATTTAGTGACATTGGACAGCTTTTATTTGACTCCAAATGTGTGTGCAGAAACTGACCTGCGCTCTGCTCTCCGACAGACTGTCCGTGCTAGGTGCAAAGCTGCGCTGCTTTTTCCACCAGACTGTAAAAAAACACATACTCAATATCAATGATCTAATCTTTAACAGATCTAAAGGAGCAGAAATATGCTTACAGGTAAAATGAAGTTATTTAGTGGTGGGAGTTCCTCCGTAAAATTATCAATCCACGTTTCCAGGTCAGTGATTGCCTGAGGAGTGAATTTTGTTCTTTCTAGTTTAGGAAAAAAGAAATTTAGATCAGTAGTGAAAAAACAATGAGATCAGACCAGCATGTATTTGCATACGTCTATGGCTTTCCCTTGCAGATGATCGAGGAGTAGCAATATTGGAGCCAACATCTTGAAGAACGCACTGGATCTGCAATAAACAAAAAAAATAAAAAATATTGGATAAGCCACTTGTTCAGTTTTGTTTCTCCTCAATCAGCTTTTTGTGCTGAAACCAACTTGCACTGTTCTCCCTGACAGTCAGGAGAGCAGAGTGCAGGTCGGTTTTAGGACACAAGATACATTTCACAGGAAAACCATACCTTGTCCAGCTGACCTGTGAACATGTGACCTTTGTCGAGGCAAAATTCTCGAGCCAATCTGTAAAGGAAGAAGGTATATCAGAAAAATCTTTGATTAAAAAACTAAAAGGATTTCAATTTGAACTGCTGACATTTTAGTTTGTCAACAGCTCTATAGAAAGAAAGAAAAGACTTTCTCTTTAAAACCGTTTAGCATTCACAGCATTGACCAACTCAAATTTCAATGAAACTGAGAAAATACTTTTTCCTCAGTAATAGTTTTGGTTTTCCTATAGCAGCAGGATTAAGTCATTGTTTACTTTAAAACAAGTAAAAAAAAAATCACAAATACTGGTGATGACTTTAAATATAAAGGTTAAGAACATCACATTACTGATACCAACTCACTCAAACACTGAATCAGTGAATAGCCAGCACTTTTATGCATGATTATCATTTCTATTTTCTGTACTGTCATTTACATTTTATTGAGCTCTGAGGCAGTTTATTGTTTTATTATATGCAGGATTATTTTTCTTGTCTGATGACACAATTCTATTCAGTTATTTTAACCATTTAACAAGATAAAGTACTCTAAATACCCATGTGCATAAAATTAATTTTCAAAGTAATAATACATATTTTACCCTATTACTGATGACAACTCATCTGTATTCCCCAAAGCTTCAAAAATGTGATCTTCCTTTGGCCTCCTTTCTCCTGTGAATGTGCTGGAGAAACCTACAAAGAAGGAATCAACCTGTTTGTATTTGTTTTTTTTTTAATATACATATTATGAACATTTACTTGATTTTAGGGAGACATGTAATAAACCAACACAGAGTGGAGGTCATTTTGATTAGAACCAAAATGACTAATCGTTTTAATTTTCAAACATTGTTTTCTTGAATAACTTATAAAGCTGAGATTTGAAGCACAAAAATATCTGAAAATTAACATCAGTATTCTCTCTCATTCTCTGATTGTTTTCCAGAAATATTAATCTTAGCAGTATATGCTGGAGAACCTGGGCACACACAACAGAGAGTCTACTTTTCTCAAAGATGTCATACTTGCATACTTTTATTTTGGGCTATTGGGTATACTTCAATACAAAAACCATGTGGCATTCAAATCTAAATACACATAGAACTCAAACCTCAGTGCACCAACTGCTTATTTAACCTGTATAGCGGAGGTCTTCAACAGTGCCAGGGGCCTCGAACCATTGTTGATGGTTTGAGGCCCATGGCGGTTGCCTACTATGCCTGTATGGTAAGTCCGCCTCTGCTGATACAAATACCGATATATATTTTTTTATATTTACATTTGCTTTATCATCCAAAGGTTGACTTTTAATTGTTTTATTGTGTTTTTCGTCATTTGGACATTTATAGGTGACCGTTTTATTAACATAAATGAAAAAACTATGGTTTGTGCCTTTTTCCACTGAGACAGAACAGCACCTTGGACTGAATTATTTTGCCAAAAATCAAAATTGTTATTTTTTTTTTTTTATTTTGCGCTCCTATTTTGATTTTCCTTTGAAGATTTTTATAGTTTTCATGAGCTTGAAAGCTTGTCTTTTCAGTTGGAGTGAATTGTCACTGGACATTAATGTTGCATAGGAAAGTGCTCACTTCTAGCGCACATGTAGAGTATGGAAATAATCTGTGTAGCGGTTAACCCACTTTAAATATACAACATACCACAACCAAAAGGGCTGCAGTGGTAAAGTCTTTAGTTTAGGGCTTAAATGATTAATGACTAATAATCAAACTAATTTAGTATAGAGAATCTAAAATATGCCTTTAGCTGACAGAGCGGCCCACCTAGCAGTAATTATATCAAAATGAAAAAAAATATAAACATTTTGCGGTTAGGATAAAAAAATGTATTGTCAATATGCTCTATTCAGAACTCTTCATATGGAAACATTTTAGCATCACCTGTTTCAATCTAGTAAAAAATCTTTAAGTAACCTTTGGCTCTCCGATTATTAATCGAAAAAAAAAAAATCAACAGATTAATCGATTTGCAAAATAATCGTTAGTTGCAGCCCTAGTTTAGTTACTATGGTAAATATGATGCGAGTAAAAGTGAGTGCTCTTGCAATGTAAAAATTGCACTTTGATAAAATGTGATTATATTGCAGGTGCAATTAATTGTCCAGCCCTAGCAATAAACTGACAGGTGCATTTTTTTACAAAACAGAAACAGTGCCTAAAAGAGTGAATCTGAAACTTAATCATCAATTTCACCACAATAGTATCGATCAAATACCAATACCAACTTATCAATATCATTGAGATTTTGGATCGATCTGCCCAACATTGTTGTGTAACAGACACAACAGTGAAGGAAAAGGTGCTTTGGTCAGATGAGACCAAAAATGAACCTTTTGGCTTGAGTAGAAGTTCATAAATACAGATAAACTAATAGTGCAAGTCAACCTAACCTCAGCATTGCCTCAGTGAACCATGGTGCTGCTGCATCATGCTAAGGGAATCAAGTGAGAGTTCAGATAAGGAGGATATAAGGCCAAAAACAGCTTAAAAATAGAAGAGAAGTTGTTCAAGGCAACTGGCCCAGGGATACCCATTTGAATGATACTTGGATCTTCAACATAGTTAGAACTAACATCCCTCTGCTTCAACACACCTTTAAGACCCCCACTAATGATGAAAACATACCCTTGTGTTAAAATGGCCTAGTCAAAGTCCAATTCTAAATCCAATAGACAACATTTTGTAATAATCGCCTAGACACTCTCAAAGAAGAAAGACACATTTTCAATTTACATGTGTAAAGTTGGTAGAGACAGAGTGGATGGAGCCAAAGATACTTTTACAAAGTATTAACCCAGGGACTGAATACATGATCACATCACAGCAGAAGTATAAAACAACTATATCTGTTACACAGCGGATTTACCTTTATCTCCAGTTTTGGTGTATATTTTTGGTGACCTTTCTTCTCCAGTGGCATAACTATTAGAAAAAAATAATAAATTAAAAATGTTAAAGAGACGAAATTATATATAATAAGCAAGTATTAGGCTTCACTGTCCCGTATAAATTATATAAAAAAAAAATAATAATAAATAAGAGTAGTATGAAAGGTTTGCATCAAGGACTCTTCTGTTGTTATGAAAGCAGGCGTCAAAGAAGGCGACACTTTAAACATGACAGTTATAGTTTACCTTCGGTCTAATATCAGAGGTGTTTTTTTCCGATATTCGCTTATGATCCTCGGTGTCCGCAACAAACAGCGGAGGAGAGCAGGTTTGATAATAACCGATGTCATAACGAGCTAAATGTAGCAGCTGCGTCTGAGCGCTGTCCAGTTACGAATTTTGTCCCTCTACTGTGTCCGTAGTTTGAAGGCGTTTCGTTTTCATCGCACGATTGGTCAACTCATCACGTGGTAAGTGGAGTGCGGACGCTGATTGGTCAGAATGGAATGTGTTGAAGTAGCAGCTACAATGATTGGATGCTGGGGATGGAGGTAGAGTAGAGCATCTGTGTAAACTGTTTATCAGCTGGGGGTGTACAGAGCGTTAGAGTTAGATTTAATCACAGTCGTGAGTATTTAAATGTTTGATACTTATAATCGGATGTTTGTGAATTAAAGGCACGTTCTGTGGGTTTAAACTGCTGCCCTGTTTCTGCTACCTCAGCGGATTATCGACAGCTAAGCCTGTCAGTGTGACACTTTGAGTGAACAGCTGAACTTGGAAAGGCTTCACAGCCTGGAAACCAGCAGGAAGATGCAGGTGAGGGACTGTCTGATTTCTGCCCCCGGGAAAGCGATCCTCCACGGAGAACATGCTGTTGTTCACGGGAAGGTAATGTTAACACTCATTTAAATTTCTACCATAATAAAGGCCGCTAAGCTTTAAAGAAGGGACACCTTTTTAGCCTTGTGGTTTCTTGTTTATGCATTGAGTAAAATGGTTTTTAATGAAAATTGTCCTACACAATTTCAGTATGATTTTCAGCTATAGCCATCAGGACATTTGGCTTTTTCAAGCTGCAGTCTTTCAGGTGTTTTGTTGAAAAAATTAACAGAAACTTCTGCAAAAGTTGAACATTGAAATAATATAGGAGTGGAGCTTAGTTAGGTGGATGGCCCAACCCTGATGGGAAAATGTAATTTGGCAGTCTGTGTGATCACACCTAATAGTTATCATCGCTTTAAATCTTTCACATAGAGTAGGCCTACAAAATGACATCATTTAGTATATACTACAACGGAAATAACTTGTGCATTGTATGTCAATTACTAATTACTTTGCAATAACCTGTTTCTTTATATTTGATACCCAGTGCAATAGTTATATAGATAAATACCCATCTATATAAATACCCTGTGCAATAACCCTATATAATAATCCTGCTTAAAAAAAAAAAAAATAAATAAGCTGTTAAATATATATATATGGACCTGCTGTACATACTTTATATACCTCCATGCAGCTTTTCTTCCTATGGTACCTTCTTCTTTTTGACTATTTGAGCTGATGTAACAAGTAAATTTTTCCACTGTGAGATCAAAAAAGTCAATCAATCAATTTGCTGTGTAAAATGCAGGAAAAATGCCTTTGTTGATTTGTTTCTAGTCTTTGAAAAAAAAAAATCAATTGAATTCCAGTAAATATCTTGGATTTAAAACATCAGTAAATTGGGTTAGATTGTTCATATAACCATACTTAGGCAATGGGAAACATAAGGATTTTTACAAGAAGGTAAGTAAATAGGTATTAAATTTAGGTAAGAAGGGATGAAATGGTAATGGTAGAACCTAACAAAGAATTAATTGACATGTATTGTCATGTTGCAGGTGGCTCTTGCTGTAAGTTTAAACCTGAGAACATATTTGCAATTGAAGGCGAAAGATGATGGCAAAGTTTCCATTAAGCTGCCTAATATCGAGACCTTCGTCAGCTGGGAGCTCTCCGAACTAAAGCAGCTGATCCCCTGTTTTAGTGGTAAGAAATGATGCAGCACACTGACACATTATCAGACACTTTAGAGCAATTATTGCTTTCATAAACATACGGTGATTGTTCACAGTTTATTCCTTCATGGATATTTTAAGCCATATTTGGTTGTGAAAACATTATGCTAGTTACCAGCATTTTAAAGAAGAAATGTACTACTAAACATGATGTGTGTCTGTTTCCTACACCTCAGAGATTAAATAAATTCTTCTGTTTTTCAAAATATTCTTAACAGATAAAAAAGAAGAGGTACAACGTCTGGATCCTGAACTAGTGAAGAGACTGCGTGAATTTATGGGTGTGAACAATGGAAATTTGGACAGCAGTACTACAGCCACCTTAGCCTTCCTCTACATCTACCTATCACTTTTTGGATCAGGGTGAAGTATTTCCAGTGTGCTTCAGATAAATTCCACATTTTATGTAAATCTGGCCCATAAAATTCACCCTGTTCTTTTTCTACTTTAATTTATACCTGCCGTTGACAAGAAAGGCAGAGGCCACCAAGAAAGGCTGAGTTGCAGATGTCCATGCTCTGTATCCGCAGGGAAAATGTGATGATTTGAAGCTTTTATTATCTGCAAGTGTGAAATGTTCCAAGGACATCCACTTTTCTTAGCTCCCGATTGTGTCTTTTGTCAAAGGAAACATTTTATACAAGTTCACCGTCCTCCCTATTTGTTCTCTGTATTTATTTATAATAGTGAAGGAGGGTGGACAGAATGTTTGGCAGGAGGAGTATTTGGCAGCCGTAGAATCTGCAGCAATCATGCAAACAGATCCCTTTTTTTTTTTTTTTTTTTTAGAATTGCCTGGATATAGCACTTTCATATTAACCAGCTTCTGTAGCACTGACCTTTTGTGGCAAACACTCTTAATGGAAGCTGCTAAGGGCTGTCATCTGGATGTCTATCCAATCATTACTCTTCTTGATTGATGTTGAGCCCAGTGGTTTTCTAAGCAGGGTCCACCAGGGGGAGCAAGCGTAGTCTCAGAAAGTTAAGGTAAATTTTTGGAAAAACCCCACAAAAATAAAAAGATTTATATAGATTTTTAAATAATATTATTTTCTAATCCTTGTTATTAAATATATTCCTTAATAATACATCATAGCAGATAATAATTTTAGGGAATTTTAAATTAAACTTCAAACCCCTTCCTATTCCTAACTATGTATGAAAGAACTGGCTAATTGGGTAGTAAATACTTTTTCCCTTTTGAAATGATTTATTTGTTTGTGCCTAGTTTAACTTTATAAATACTAAAAGCAAAACTGCATCTTCACTTGGACATGTGTGGAGCTGGTAGACAAAACCAACCCTCTGTTTACAAAAACATTTGAAATGTTGAATTTTCTTTTATTCTGTCCTTATCTTAAAAACCCTGTTTAAAAGTTTGTTAAGTAGTGGGAATATAATACGGTATTGAATACATGCTAGTAATGTTCTTACGTTAAACAAATGTAATTGTTATTGAATAATGAAGAAAAGAAGCTAATATGGTTTAGGAGGCCATGGTATGGAAAATTTGGAAACTTCTGGTTTAGCGTGCTGAAGCCCACTGACTATGTAGAGGTTTATGAAACCAAGACAGGTTTTTCATGAGTAAAATCAGCTAAATTATAATTTATAAAGTATTGAAATATTTTACTCAGTAGTTAATCTTTATAATATATAAGGTTAACTTTAACAAGTGACAGAAATGCTAATCTTTTTCCCATATTATATTTCTGTTTCAGATCTAACACTTGTGCAGGTCTGCAGTTTTTCCCTCCTTACTCTCAAACGTTAATATGATAATGAATGTCCTTACTGATGTGGGCAGGTCAAATGGATGAATTAGAACCCTCTTCTTTAAGGTTAAGGTGCTAAAGAGAGACAGATTTGCAGACACTGCGGCCCCAGCTGCTGTGAGCGGGGAAGATGGTTGGGAACATAAGAACTGCAGGTTGTTGTAGGGTTTAATCGGCGCTGACACAGTGCTGCTGTGTCAGAGGGAGGTGAAGGATTTCTGACAAGATGGCTACTAATGAGAGTCAGACACTGGGCCACACTGCACATTTTAACAAGTCTGGATGAGTTTTCCCCTTGAGAGCAGAACAGGACAATTAGTTTAGAGTGTTTCTCCCTCTGCCTAAAAGCAACAACTCTGAAATAACAGAATTATTCCAATGCTTACTGCATTATCATTGTACCATTGAAATACAGTCTGACTGTTACTGATATTGTAACCTCTTTAACCTTTCCTTTTTGTTTTGTTTTCTTTGTTTTTTCAAATCTAGCCCTTCAATTATTATTTCCTGTTGTGTTTTTAGAGAGATGCCCAGTCTGACAGTGTCTGTGTGGTCAGAGCTGCCGACCGGAGCAGGGCTGGGCTCAAGTGCTGCATACTCTGTGTGTTTAGCTGCAGCTCTTCTCTGTGTGAGTGGAAAGATTCCCGCTCCTCTCAAAGATGGGGAGCAGACTGCCAGGTAAGAACGGGGTCTGGAGTTTTTCTATTTATTGAACAGTTCCTGTTTTTGTTTTTGTTTTTTTTTTTGTGTAACCATTGTAACTAGTTTGTGTAAGTTGTGCATGGGGTGTATACTGAAAGTAAGGCCTGGAAGGTTTGCCTTTAGTTGCTTCTTTAAGCAACTGTTTTGGAACTGAGGGAGCAGATGTTCCAGTTTTTACTTTGACTAATTTTGCTTTTACAAAGATCAAAACTTTCAGTAAACTTTGTTGCATTATGTTCAAATGAAACATTTTGACCAGTAATGGCACACCCAGGCATGAATGCTTCCCTTGTTCCCGTAAGCACTGTAGTTACAATCTGAACATTGCCTGTGTGTAAATGCAACACTGTTTAATGCCTCAGATATTTTCAAACTAGTTTTTTAAACTTAGTACATCAGCTTTGCAGAAAACAAACCGTGCATGAGTCGCTACACTGAAAAAAAATAATGCATCCGCTTTTGGCATTTACTTAATCATATTTAATTACTTTAACATAATTGTTTTATGTCCTACCCTGCTAATATGAAAGTATTGTGTTAAAGTTACTAAAGATAATTAAGTAAATTCCCAAAATGGTTCCATAATAGTTTTTTCAGTGTACTCATCACTTCCCGGTTTTGTTTAATAACATTTACATATCCTTGTATTTTTTTGGGAGAATATCTTAAAATCTGATCATCATCTTGTTAAACAGAAACACTAACTGAATCATGGAATAAGCAGGATTATTAAGGTCTGTTTGTTTCAGCAAATCATTTCCCCTTCACAGATTTAATCCTATTTTATCATATGTGCATGTTTTGTATCATCAGTGTTGGTTGTAGACCAAATCTAATATGGGTCCTTTTTTTATGGGGCCGCAGGGGAAAAAAAAGAAATAAAAAACAGGCCAATAATTCCTCGTTTGATCTATATTTCCGGCTCTGAAATCCTCAGATATATTAGATCAAAACTGTGATCCTGTCTCAATATGGCTAAAGCTCAAAGTTCCACACTTTCATCTGAAATAACTGCCTACAAATAATTAGCCAGCACGTATCATTATAAGGAATATATTTAGTTTTAAATCTTCAGTATAGGGCCCATAATGGGGGCCAGGGCCAGTTTTACAGGGGCACTGGCTCCCTTTTGGTCCCTCTCTAGAACCGTCCATGCTTATCATAAAGCAAGTTTCAATATCAAACATATAAAGAAAATCTGTTTTGCAAAGAGAAGTTCTGGAATTCCGTAAGACACTTTTTAAATAGTGATGGAATTAATTAAGAGCAAAGGAGCTACCCAAACCAACCTAACCCAAAGAAAACAATTAATTTCCACTCATACTGAATGACTTGTTTTGGGAACAAATAAATACTGACATCAAGCATTTGTGATGAATGGCAATGAGACTTTTCAAGAGCGTTTTACCAGCCTGTTGGATTACAAATTTACATAACGCAAAACAAATTCTGCTATAGAAGTTTCTCCTAGACAACAGGATTCATGGTTCCAAATAATTACAGCAAGTTTTCTTCATCCTAAAGCATCAAATTCGCTCCAGACCCTGAATCAAGCAGTAGTTTAATACCAGGTGACCAGTGGTGTTTGCCCCAAAAACTCTCCAATGGTGGCCATTTTGTCTGGTGTATTTCTTAATTTTTTAATAATGAACTCTGACCTTTTAGTTGTTGTAGTGGGTTCTTCTATGACCCCCTAGATGGGTGATCAATGTGCTCTTTAAGTTATTTTGGTAGGTCAGCAACTGCAGGAAAGGTTTGTTTCTTTATTGTTGGTTAATGTATTTGGTGCTCCATTAGCCGCAGCCAATGCTGCTTTTTCCAATTCTCCCTGGAGACAATTACAAGGAAATGCAATATAAAGTTATATAAAAATAAAACAATCATCACAATTCACAATATATTTAATTTTTGTTTTTATTTATTCATTTGACAGGGACGGTGTAAATTAAAAAGCATTTCTGCAAATGCACCATAATTAGCCAAAAGGCTATTTTTCATCTGTTGTACCTGGACAGATCTTAAAATTGTCTACCTAAAAAAAACACAACAGTAAGCATTCTACAATGAAAAATACAAATATAAAAAGAAATAAAAACAGCTATACCTCCTCAAAACTGATTTAAAAATACAGAATAAGTTTTGCTGGACTACAGAGGTTCATAAAATAGAATAAAAAATTTAAACTATGTATATATACATATTATACATACATATATACATACACACAGCAGAGACACAAGTGGCAGCATGGCTTGTTAATGAAAGACATTCAACTAATGCTGACATGACTGATGTGTTATGAGACAATTTTTTAGACGCTTTTTGAAAATAGTGTATGTTGTAAGTTCTCTGATGTTCTGAGGGACAGAGTTCCATTCCTGCGATGCTGAAACAGCAAAGGCTCTTTGACTAAAAGCACTTTTACGCAGAGGAGCAACAGTCTCCTCTAGCCGACCCTCATGTTACTGTTGGCGTGTTCCCGATTTTCACAAACTGACTGAGTGGAGGGGATGACAGACCATGGATTATTTTGTAAAACAGACAGAGGTTTTCATACTTGATGAAGTTTTCCTAGCTTAGAAGCTTATGTTTTAGTAAAATGTCACAATGGTGATATTTTTATGTTTTTTTTTTTTTTTTAATCCCAAATTTTTATTGTCTGTTTGTAAAGAGATTCTAAAGGTTTTAGTGAGGTTTTATTTGCCTGTGACCAGGTTGTAAGACAGTAGGTGATGTGTGCCAGAACCATACTGTACATGAAAATTTTTGCTGCCTGGAGTGACAAGTTTGACCTTATGAAATGGAAATTTGTAATATTATATTTGAAATTATATGTATACACATTTATATGTATATACATTTCAAATCTGCATACAACCAAAATGGTCGTTAATTTTCCCAACTCACAACAGTTGCATACGATTTTTATTTGCCATCATACATACAGGGAACAATTACATTTCACAGATCAATCATATCTGTTTAACCAGAAAGGAGCATGTTTACGTCAAATAGGAAGTTCAGCACTGTTCTGCATTTTCTTTATCTGCAAATTGATGTTTGCTTAAAAATAGCTTTCTAGCCTTATCCAAACTGATAGATATCAATGACCTTATTTCTTGTTGACAATCTTTTGGCCTACTTTGTGTTGCATGGTTAAGTCCTATTAAGTGAGTTCTTGATTCTACAGGTAAGGGAGTATTTCAGGCTTGATGTGGCTTTTGAAATTTAACCAAGCTGCTCAAAAACTATGATTGATTATAGTTATTTTCACATTGGGACTATATTTTAAATTCTTTATCCCACTAATAAATCAAACAGACATTTGAAAACTGCTTATTTGCAAGTACTTATTTGAGCTTAATCTGAAAGCTAATGTCTAACACATCCCATTGCAAGCAATGTTTCTGTAATTATTTGATTAAACACACAAATGTTAACCTGTGGATCTCTTGTTTAACTGTAGCCTGTGTTGTTGTGAACTGACTGCAGATGGTGTCAAGAGGATCTGGAGCTCATCAACAGTTGGGCCTTTCAAGGGGAGAAGATCATCCATGGAAATCCCTCAGGAGTAGACAACGCTGTAGGAACATGGGGTGAGACAAAAAAAGGGTCAAACCTAACATGTGACACTTCACATTACCCCTCCTCCCTTCTGTTCAATAGAAACACTATTAATATTTTACAACCACTTCACAGACCAGCATATAACCACCTGCTGATTTCTTTTTTTTTTTCATGTAGGTGGTATGCTGAGATTTCTAGCTGGAAAGATAATACCCCTGAGCAGGTACTGATACCGTGTTTATTGTTTTCTTTGATTAATAATCCTTTTGAAAATCATACATTTTTAGTTGCAGAAATCAAGCTTTGTCTGTAAACCTCCCCACCCCACCCCCATCCCCTCAGCAGCAGACGACTGAACACTGTGATTCTCTCTGATCTCTCTGACTGCCAGGGTGCCGCTCTTAAGAATCCTCCTCACCAACACCAAAGTACCACGGAGCACCAAGGTACTCGTTGCCAGGGTGAAGGACAAAATTAACAAGGTACTAAATGGTTTTTCCCTCCCCTGTGTGTTACTTGCCGACACTATAATTAATATAATAGGCAGTGCTTTTGCGTGGCCGATACTCCGGGGCATGGGGTTGAGTGCCTCCATAAAACATTAAAATTAAACTCTTAGCCAGCACCCCTGTGCGCCGTTGCCTTGGTGACACCAGCAGGTGTGCAGCTTTCCGCCCCGGACAGAGATTGGGCTTGCACGGTGTTGTGCCAATATTGGACACAATCAGAGGCTAATGTGCCAAATAGGCTGCCTGTGTGCTGTCATTGCCTTTGTATTTAATCATTTTAAACACATCAAAATGTTTCTTTTGAAAGAGCTTTTTTGCAAAAGGTATAATCTGTGTTGTTGGTCTTTTTTTTGGTTCTTCCTCTCCTGCAGTTTCCTTCTATCATGATTCCTGTACTGGATTCAGTTGATGCCATTTCTTGCACCTGTGAAAAAGTCCTAACAGAGATGACTTGTGAGCCTATCACAGGAGAGCACTATAATATTTTAGAGGTGCTTTTTCCTTTTTGCTAAAATGTTTTTATTCAGTCATCATTCAATTGCCTGTATTTTTTTCTAAGATTGTATAATTTCCATAGGAGCTGATTGACATCAACCAACATCATCTGAATGTGATGGGTGTAGGACATCCTTCTTTAGACATATTGTGCAAGGTTACAGCTGCCAGAGGGCTTCATAGCAAGCTTACAGGAGCAGGTGGAGGAGGCTGTGGCATTACGCTCCTGAGACCAGGTGATTTACCAAATAGTTTATTTATTTATTTATCTATCCATCCATATTCTGTCACCATTATCTGTCTGTCTGTCTGTCTGTCTGTCTGTCTGTCTGTCTGTCTGTCTGTCTGTCATAACAGCTCATTTTAGATGGTCCAAGTTTTTACAAAATTCACTTCTCAGTTGTCCACAAAGATATTGAAATATAAAGGAGTGAAAAATTAAAGTCTGCTCAAGAACGAAGATGAAAGTAGCCAAAGTGTTTTAACTCCCATTTCTGTTTATACGTTAGCTTACTTTACATGAAAGTCTCCATTTCGTTCTTTGCAATCCATCTAGTTTCTTGTGAATATTTAACCAAACTTTAATCTAGCAAATATTGTGCTTGTCATACAGTACCATTCTATAAGTTTGTCAAATGTTTGTTCTCTATAACAGCTTGTTATCTGGCCATAAAACATCACTCACTGCTGCATCCAATTAAATCAGTAAATAAGATGGAGGCATACGTTATTGATTTACTCAATCATTCCATCTAAAGAAATCACATTTTTTTTCAATGTATGGTTATAAAAGATAACTAATTTTCTGAAAAGCTTAATGCTAGAATATAATGCCCGCAATAGCTAATGTGGTCTGGCTGTTGACTCCCTGCAAAAGCTGTCATGGATGTGATCTGTCCTCATCCCTGGGAAAACTTGACCTACTCCACTTTGTTCTGTGCTTGCACTGTCATTTTTTTCTGGGTCAGCAGTAAGAGGCCGAACATCAATTCCATATACTGTTAGAAAAAAAAAAAAAAAAAAGAGGGTGATATAAAAGCTATTTTTTGTTAAATTATGTAGCTGCTTTAAAAACCAAATAAAAATTTTAGCCCTGGCTTTAGAATATGTCATTTTAATTATTTAGATTCAAACATAATACAGATCAAAATGATAATCAAGCCCTAGATTTGATTCTTCAAGTTTTGTTATTTTCTACTGATTCACAGCAACAAAAAAAGAAATTAAGATAAAAAAATGTTCAAGGTAACCAAGAAGGCTATTGCAAGACATTGGTGTCGTGCCTTTTGATATTGTAGATTTGAAAGTATGCTTGTAATTTTAGAAGTTGCAAAGTTTTCATTTTTCCAAATTTCCTGGTATTTTTTTAATTGAATTCCTTCTTACATTTTCTAAATAAACATTCTTTCTCCCCTTGGCTGCAAGATGAGCCCAAATCTTTATCGATTTACTTCAGTGCTAATATTACGGGAGGTTGTTTTTTTTCCCCCTAACACAACCATGCACAAAAAAAAATATGTCCATACTTTGGGTTTCTAAAGCCAGCCTTGAAATGTCCATGCTTTTTTCATCATCACTTTTATGCAGTCTGTTACCCCTTTACACCTCTTAATAATAAATTCAGTTTGATTGTTTTAAATGACCGAAAACTCCTGATTTTGAATGGTATACTTTCCTCAAATGCTCCCCCAGATTCTTCTCTCAGAAATAAGAAATATAAAGACAATTCACAATGAGAAGTATTATTGAGAGCAGAGTGTGAGTGTGAACTCTTACATATGTGTTCTCATTCAGGTAATATACCCAACCAATCAGAACGAGTGTTTAGTCTTTGTTTATGCCTGCAGCGTGTGGAATTTTAATAAGTTCTAAATGTCCTAAATACATTACCAAATAGTTTTTCTTCTCATTCTTTTGTTTTGAATTGCAGCTATTTTAAACCCTCTGTTATCTGCCTGCTCTGAGGCTCGTTATAATAAAGCTCCAGGAAAAATGTGTTCATTTTATTTGATCTCTACCTCTAAAAGCTAAGGATGCAATCTAATATTTTTAAAATATTAAGTTGTTTTTTTTAATGTGTTTTTACAAGCTTTTCCACTGGTCTTCACCTGTGGTTTAATATATATTTTCATGAAGTTCTCAGTGTCTTCCTTGATCTGCACACTCCAAGTTAGAATTAAATATTTTCATATTTTCCACTTGAGGTATGTCAGCAATTCCTCCAGGATCTTGGCTTCTTTTGGAATCGTTTGATCTATTGTTGTTTCATACTTCTTGAGGTCTTTGTTTGAACACAAATAAGCTTAGATTATTTTTTTTACAACCAACCTTTGGTTCGACCTGCTGTGTTCCTTGGTCTTCATGCTGTTCTTTCACTGATGTTTTCCATAAAACCTCACGCTCTCACAGACTCATCTCAGTCTGACTTTTCTTGTTTATTGAAATCTGTATGTTTGATATTTTTTTGTAGAGACTGATTTAGTGACTGTCCAGGGTACGGTGAAGGACCTGAGAGACTGCGGCTTTGACTGCTGGGAAACAAGTATTGGTGGACCAGGTGTGCAGCAGCACTTCCCCTTCTCTGTTAAAGAGGAAATTCTGGAGGTTTTAAATCGGTATTGAGGCCTACTGGTTGCTGAGAACAAAGATTGATTCATACACTGTTGGACTTTTATTTGATGCCTGAAAAGCTGTGATATACTGAACTAATTATGTTGCTTGAGATTACCCAAGTAAAGAAAACAAAAACATTGTTTACAATCAATTGTATTGACTGAATTTTAATTGTTTTTTAAGTTTATTATTATTTTTTTAACTTTGCAAAATCATATGTAGAACTGTAGCCTAACACTAGAGGGCAGCAGAGTGGTAGAAATGTTTTTTTTTTTTATAAATCAGGAAAAGGAATCTGAAACTAATATTTAGATAGATTAGTTTAATATTAAATTGGGAATTCTGAATTTAAAAAAAATCTGCTTTAATGACCTTGATTTTTTATTTTCTGTGAAAGCTACAAGAATGTTTGTAAATCCAAACAAGGCATTTATTCAGATAATTGATGCATGGAAGAATAAATATAAACAACTTGTCCAAAAAATATAGTTGTATTTATGTTCGGTTTTATTTTCAAGTAAAACCTGCAGATACCAACTCTTTTGGCTGTTTTATCTTTTCAGTTAAAGACTAACAGGTTGTGTTGTTTTGCTAATGAAGGTTGGAGAAAGGAGGACAGCAGGCGTGCGGGGCCTCTCTGGAGGATGTGGATTAGCATCACTGTGCTGTGAATAAACAACAAACAGCGTCCCTCTGAGTTACACATTTGTGCTGACAGACACACTACAGCTTTTCCAAATTCTCCTCCACTTAATCGTTCATCCTCCTAAGCATTGCAAAATATGCTGCAAATGGCGCAGATGCAGAGGACTGATCTGTCTGGAACACCCCCTGATTTAGGGAAAAGGTCATTGTGGGAATTGGATGAGGTTGTTTACCATTTCAGATTTTGCGTTTTTTATTTTCTAAATGTGAAGACTGAAGAGTCCAAATCTGACATGGTATGTGAATAAACTGAGTTTGTCACAAAAACGCACCCAGACACCCACCCCTTGTCTGCTTCTGCCCCCTCTGTCCCCTTGAATTGTGTCATCTTTATGTCAGGGCTGCTCCCCTCTCTGCTTGCTGCACAGTTGCCCCCAACCCCTGCTGGAATTTAATTACCACTACATTTTTTTTCAATTGAAATGGCATTGAGGAGGGCGGTAAGGTAGAATGGGGGGGTGGACAAAAGGGGACACAATGAAGTCAGTTTTATTTGAAGCCCTTTTTATAGTTTCTGTCTTTTTCTGTCAGTCCTTTTACCCGACTGAGGCACAGATGGTATTTTTTTTCATGTATCAGTGTCAGTGCCGGCTTCTTTCTGCTCTGATGAATAGAATCTAAGGAGGGCCCGGGATTATTTCAGATAACCGAGGGGGTGAGAAAAGGGGGTCAAGGATAAGAAGTCAGAATGCCAGATTTTCAGAGATACAGTAGGAACGGTGAGCTATCCTCACACTGGGGGAGGGTGAGGAGAGTGGTATGTAAAAAAATTCATTTAAGATTTGAGTGTTTGAGAGAGTTTTGTCTGTATAAATCTGTGGAAACGAAACCAGGATGAATAATTCATTTAGTCCAAGCAAGAGGAATGAAATGCTAAATGTGAATTTGCTGAGTGGTCTTGCTCACTGTGGCACATTCCCTCTGGTCCCCTGTCAACTGGTGAGAGACTTGTCAGGAGCCATTAAGCCTGAATGCAGAATTAGACCTGGCTGACAAGATATCATGAAACTGATGTCCGGTGGTTTTGCTAAAGGGGATTCCAGTGTACAGCTCCATAGGTGGTGTGTGTGCATCTGCATTCACATTCAGCATTAGTCTCTTGGTGTTATTATGGTAAGTGCCTGTTTTTTATTTCTTATTTCATATCTGTGTCAGCGACGGATGAGGAAGGGGCCCCAGCGGGGGGATATTTAAGCAATCGTCCCTCTCGTTTTTCATAGGAACACAATGACGGAGCCTCGGCCAACATGAGCCTTTCTCTGTCATCATGAATTCGATGATCCTCCTGGGGCTATTTGCCCTTTGCTAAGTAGGGGGTGGGCGGCCAGTGTCGCAAGCAGGGGTCCGATTTAGCCAGCAGGGTGTGAGGATAGTGTCACAGAATTCCTTTTACAAGGTTCCTCCACAGACTCCGAGACGTCTGAGATTTAGCTTTAGTATTCTATGTTTCAGGATAAGTATGCATATATGATTCTAGTTTTTAAGTGTTACATTTACTCATTTATCCATCTGTCTGACCATGCAGCCATTAGCCATCTATCCGTCTAGAGGTTTTCACAGATAAAGCCTGATCACTTCAGAAATTTTTGCAATAAATTCAGAATCAACAAGCCTATTCATGGTATGAAATATAAAAAGCGTCCAAAAATTACTGAAAGATCTTCTAATTTAAGATGAGGCATGAAAGTAAATTCATGTATGACTACGGGAAGGGGTTATTTTATATTTCTAAAGTAAGTTTCAGGTCAGAATCTCCTCACCTTGTGTCAAAAAAAGGTATTTTAGGTTCACTTTTCGTTATAGATGGAAAAGGGATAAAATGTATTGAGATATTTTACGGTGATGAGGGAAAACAAATAATGAAAATGTTAATTTGTCCAGTTCAGATTTCTGGTTGATAGTATGTCTGTTTTCAGACGGTTGAAGTAACACTGCCCAGACACACTACACCCAGGATTCAAAACAGGAATATTCTTTCGTCTATGTAAATGGGAAATACCACCTGACACCTCAAACCAAAGTGACCTCTAGTATTTCCTATATAAACTGCCACCTTTGCAAAGGTAATTTGAGAAATATTAAAATGACCTTTTCTCCAGGTTTTTACTTTGATTTGTTTGGATCTCTAAAACTTATGGTAGCTAATTTTATATTGCAAAATTTTAAAAATGAAATAAATCAAAGGCAGCTCTGTGGTATTTCAACTTTTCAAATCCAATCACACTTGGAGGCTGCAGCGGAGCAGGTGTTCCAGTAAGTTATAATCTTAAAATAACTCTAAATTGTTCCTTGTGGTTAATTTCTACTTGTTTTAAAATGTCTTTCATTAGTTTTTTTTTGCATTAGCTAGACCAAGCTTTCTTTGAGGATTAAGCCATAAAAACCTGCAAAATTGTGTGAAGGAATCTTAACATTTTAAAAATTCTTCCATTTATTAACAAATATCAGTGATTGAAGTGAGGCATACATACAAATGCATACAGAGCTTGTTCAGCCTGCCGTGCAGATGGTATGAAGTATTCAATACCAGATGTTTTGGGATTACAAAACTCAACCTTTTATTAAAGAAACACAAGTATTGTTCTTGCCGTTTCAGATATTTTCATGTAAACCTCTGCTGACCTGATTTAACATAAATCTATTCCTGCTGCAGTAAATATTAGAAAAGGACACTTTTAAATATTTTTTTTTTTACATTGGATGTCGTAATGTTAAAGCAATTTTTGTTGTCTTGTTTTCTCCAGACCAAACATCTGCAAAACTGAACTAAAGCTCTTAAGCCTTTAAGACCATAAATTCACAGGGTCTGGAAAAAATAAAATCTTTTATTTCATATAGTTCTCACTCATTTGGTTTTATTACTTAATTTATGCAAGAATTAGACATATATATATATATCACATATCGGAGGGATGAAAATTATGGTAGTTATTTTTCATTGTAGTCCATAAAGGTTTAATTTGACCTATTCTAGTCAAAGTAATAATTTTTTGAAAACATGTTCATTTGAATTTACATGAAAAAAATAAGAAAAAAACAAAAAAACCTTCATGCATATGCTGAATAATAATGCTGGTTAACAAAAACAAATCTGGTCTGAAGGCCTCACCTTAATCTGATGGATGAAAGGAAGTTTGTTCCCACAGAGAACTGACTGTTGATGAGTTCATCAAATGAAAGAGTTTTGGATCCAAAACTTGGAATCTAATTATTGATCCGACCTTTATCTCTACCAACCAGATAAATATTTCCTCAGCATATTTATTATTTATGTCACTTGTTGATCTCTTTCATTGCATTTGATTAGGTAAATTAATGACATAGTTTTCAGTTGGGGAGTAAAACATTTATCCTATCTTCATGTTTTGACTCTGCTTTTAACATTCTTGGTCGAACGTCTCCCCCCTCCCCTGTTAAACGTAGCCAAAACATTCACAGTGAGGTTTCAACCTTGAGGATCTGTTATGTCTGGAGCCGGGTTTCTGTTATCCCTCAGAAACCGCCAGAGCTGCACAACTGTAAATATCTGAAAAGAAACTACTCCTCCACATTCCTGTTCCCATTATGGAATTGTATCATGTCTGTGTATTGATCCTGGAATTGATCCTACGGAGTTGAGGGCATGTGCAACATACACTGTCATCTCCCAGCACCAGCAGGGCTATGTTTTTTAATTGCAGGCTAAGGCGCTGGGTTTTGATGTTACCTTTGAAAAGCCTCATTGATTTTTATACCACCCTTCATCCTCTCTGTGCTCCGCTTTAAGAGCAAATCCCTTGTGTCAGATTTTCCCCAAATGTAAAAGCATGAGATCTACCACTGCTTTTCACCAGGCTTCCATGCTATTCAGACACGTTAACACTTTAAAATTCAGATGTGTGGATCCCCCCCCCCCCCCCCCCAAATAAAACAAAGAGGAAGAAAAGCTGCCAGTCTCTGTGCCAGTGGGAGCTGCTGAATGGGAGGTTAAACAGATCTCTAAAATTTGGAACTAAGGGTTCATTGGGGTCCTTTGGCTAAATGAGAAGAACAGATGTACCACCTACTGCTGGTAGCGGTAGCATTGATAAAGAGGTTTCAACACTTTAACATAAATAATTCATTTATTATAGTACTATATTCTGTCAATGAAAATCTAAGCAACGTTAATACTTTAAGATGAATAATTATTTTTTCTTTTGCAAAAGGAAAAAACAAGTGTGCTAAAATTTCCCCCCCTCTGCTTATCAAATCTATGCGCTAATATAGCTGCTTTCCTGTAACATTTCTCATTACATTGTTTTAAAACAACTCCTAAATCCAGTGGGGTTCTTGTGTCTTTGAAAAACACATAGCGTTAAAAAAATGTTTCCTTACCTGAAAGTGGGCATAAGGGCTTTTTCCACATCTGTATTTAGTTTTGCACTTGGGATCAGCACAATAGAGTTCAGTAAACTCTGTTTATTTAGAGTTTTGAAGTTTCTTATGGTTATTTGGTTGTTATGGAGACATTGACCCCAAGATGCCAGTCGTACAGTAGTTTTCAGTGAGCTTTGGAGAGATCTGATTGGTTTTTTTTTATTACTTATCCTCCCAATAAGAGCTGGAAGCAGGTGAGATTTTGCCTTTATCCAGTCAAATTTGTTTGTGTTCCATAATTTTTATACAGAAAGTAGATACGGGAAAGGTGAGGTGAGTTGTTGTCTTTTAGTGGTCATTTCTTGATTTATGTAGAACAGAACACATTAGCCTTCTCTAAATGCTGTGTTCTATTTTTGTCCCCATTTGGAAGACTGACTAAAAGCAAAGCATGTGTTTTATCATATTTATACCTTAGGAAAACATTTTAGTATCCATTACTAGGAAAAAGACAGTGAAAAAATAGTACTACTAGAACGGGTAAAAAAAAAACATTCAATCATTCAGAAAAAGTGAAATATTCTTAATTCTGCAAAGACGATAATTCCTTCTTGTGGGATCTCTGTTTTTCCATTGAATGAATAAATTAGACCATATTAAAGATTTGATTTTTTTTTTTAGAAATGTTTTTGAAATATTATATTTCTACTAAAAAGCTTAATAAATATGTCCTATTCTTTACAGCTGCACACATATACAGTTTTCAAAAAATTTTATTTCAAAAGTAAACATTTACAAATGTTTTCATTAAATTACTTAACAAGTTTTATTTAGAGGT